TTTATTAATCAAAACCACACATTACATCAATGTGGCTTCCAGCTGCAAAACAAATCCTTCGGTAAGACTCCAGACCTGTCTCGAATTCATGCACCTTTGTCGTGGTGTTGGAAAGCACGGAGGACTCCCCCGGCTCCGGAGCGCAGCCCGCTGGAAAGAGCAGAAGCAGCCGCAGTCACTTGGTGCAATGCTTATGGGGCGACCTTTGTTTCTGGTTTTCGGCAATGTGCGAAACCTGGCCTGGCCTGTCGTGTAGGAGCGTTTCGAGATTGCTTTCGATGAGGCTCGTGGTCTGCAACGTTTGGAGATGAGCGAAGCAACCACGAGTTCGCGGCCAACAGGGATCTCCAGAGCCAAAGCCAAGCTGCGCAGGTTGCTGTCCCTGACCTCTCCTATTGCATCTGCTGCGGAAGTCATCCCTTTGTTGTGCGGCCAGGTAACGCAGTGGCGCAAGGACCGCCTGGCCCTGTATCCTGACCTGCACTGCTTTGGTTTGTCGCTGCAGCCAGGTTCTCCTGCATTGTGCAAGGCAGAGGCCATCCAGCCAGAGTGACCTCGCCTGGGGCATACAAGAAGTTCATGGCGTTCCACGGTTTCTGCTTCACGAATGACATGTCATTGAGGCCTCAGCCTGATTCACGCGGCGTTGCTTCCTCAAATTCCTCACCAACTTGAGCAAGTTCACTACGGCGTGTTGCAACTGGCCACTGACGATGTGCCTCTGTGAAGGGAGGCCAGCACGGCGCTGATGAAGACGGGTGGGAGAGTAAGTTGAATTGCATAGACATACATCCTGTCTAGCAGCTGATTGGAATTTGCATATCGCCAGTTCTGAGAGCACAAAGTTTCGAGAGATAGAACTGCTCGATGAAGACATACCCGGCTCTGTTTGCATGCTTCTTCAGTTGCAAGCGTCAGATGATTCGAAAAGCTATTTGTGCTAGCCAGGCCGTGGCATCACAATATGAGCCATAGACGAGGCACGCTGCCTGCATCTCCTTCCGGAGTTGTCGATACTGGTAGCAGTCTTGTCAACAGGTGAAGCTTCCCTGCGTGCACCATCAGGATCAGCTGTGCCAAAGAGGCCTGTGCGGACTCACAAGCTTGTCGGGCAGTTTGTGAAGCAGGTGGCTTCATGTTTTGCAAGGATGCCAGCATGTGGCTCGGCATCGAAAACTGGACTTGGAGCCAAGCTTGGTGAAGAAGCTGAGCCTGTTTCAGGTACACGGAATGAGTCATCCATCTTTCCCATTCGTGCTTGTGCGACGGGAAGGCTTGAAGGACATGGCTGTGCAAGGCCCCACTTCTCCGAGAAGCTGCCACCATGCTCCGCATTGCTCTGCCAGCTCTGCTCCGGCATTCGAGCATTTTGCCTAAAGGGCAACTGTAAAGCAGTAGCCAAGCAAAGAGCGAAATGCGCTGTGTCTTTCCGCGTGTTGTCATGCATTGGACAACAGAAAACGGAAGTTTGATGGACAAATCTGGATGAGATGGGGCTTCGCATAGGAAAGGGCATGGTTTGGATGGCCTTCAGGTGGGACATGTTTCGAAAGGTGATGTGTCAGGACAGGCAGATGCTTCGCGACAGAGTACAACTCTGCACGGCAAGTTATCACTTGCCTGGAACAAGTACATATGTCTCTCGGCAGCCAATTCACTTAGCGACGTATGCGGGGTGAGGCCTGGAGCTTTTCAACCCATGCGGTCAGCCCCAACTGCCCCGTTGCACACGCTCGAGATCGGCTCATGCAGGAAGAGGATGTTGCAGAAACGCAACAGATGCAGCAGCTTTCGTTATGCCAGGCGAATCCTGGCAGGCTACATCACATTCGCGAGACACTCAGGCTGCGCTAGCTAGTGAAGGGCCCATGCCATGATATGCCATGTTCGATTGGGATGAAGTGCCGGACGACATTGCGGACTACGTCGCTGTTGAGCAGCCCGACTCCGACAGGGAGGAGCCCGCCACGCCTGTGAGAGAGAGCCGTGTCGACCTTGGCCCTGGCTGTCTTGAGCTGGGCGGCGTTTTTCTGGAGAAGAACCTCGCTGAGTCCTCGGCCCTCTCAGCCCTGGTGCCGTCAATCTCCGAAGGGGCACCGGAGCCGACCCAAGCAGAACTGGAGACTCTGCGATGGATGATGCAGAAGGCCACCATGAATCAGGACACAAATCCCCCGAGCCCGAGTCATTGTCAGCTGCGCTGGTGCAAATGAGCAGGACATGTTTTTGCTCGGCCCACCCGGGCCGTGATGCCGACTATACTTTTGTATGGATTGTCCAACGGACACAAGTCCGCGAGCGTTTGCATGTCCAAGCCTTGTCCAGTGTATGCCAGGCGTGTTCGGTTGCCATCTCAGAAGTATCCGGCAGTGTCAGCGGACCAAGAAAGATCAGTGCATCCTCGAGTAAATGCGCATGAGGCACCTGGTGCATCACTTCTGTGCCCTTTTCGGCCGTCAGGTACACCACTCGGATTGAGGACACCAGCATTGACAAGTGCAAACGCAAGTGTCTCTAATCGAGTTTCGAGTTTAGAGTTGGACACAGTTTCGAAGATCTTGTTTCTTGATGTAAAGCGTTGTGCCAATCTCGACTCCGATCACTGCACTTTTTGATCGCGACGATCGTTGTAAGTATTCCAAGTGGTAAAGTGGTACATCTGGTGTATCTGTGCGTGTTCCAGCATCGATGTGTTGGGCATCGTTGTCCGCGTAGGATTCCAATGCAGTATGCGCGGCGTTTTGCTAGGAGCATGTCGGTATTTCAGTCGGTGCGTTGGTGTCATTCAAGATCAAAACCACTGTCCGGATCGGATATGCCTCCTGTGCAGTGCAGGCTGATGTTGACAATCAAACCTGATGCCCGTCCTCTGTCCTTGGACGAAAACTGGCATCGCACTCCGTAGCAAGGAGCGAGACACATGGGAAAAGCAGCTGGCGCACAAAGACCCGCTTGCACCGGGTGTAGAGACACACCATCAGTGGAGACTTATGCTGCGTGTTCTACATCACCGCTTAGATTCGTCAGCGGTCAATACCCGCAGTCGGTCTTGCCTGGCGGACGATATGCGAGGCTGACTGATGCTCATGGAACCAAACTCAGAGCATCAAGCATACGCCTTACTGGTCGCGGGTCAAGGTACATCCGGAGTAGATTGCTGGAAGCTGACAGGGCAGGGCAACGTGAAGCGGTCTGGGGAGACCAGAGACCTGCTTACAACAAGGAAAGCCGTTAACATTTATGCGAGAACAGGATCATGCCGAACTGAATATCGGTAGATGACCCATGAGAACGACTGTTGGATAATGTCTCGCTTGCGTGATTCACCGATAGCCTGGCCTGCACCTGCCTAGATCTTGATCATCATGAGGACCAGAGCATCATGGGGTCTCCTCTCTGCCTGGTGTGCGCTTTCCAATCCCAAACTCGCGCCCAAAAAGGCCCGGACAACGGACCAAACGATGTCCAATGATGCTGACCCGTGTTTGCCAGAATACGGCTGGCGAAAGCGCGAAAACGCGTCGGAAAACCGTCCCAGGCTTGGACGGCGCCAGACAGCGATCACAAGATGTGTGTTGACACACTGTGTGGATCGCCGGGGGGGAACCAGGAGGTGGACAGTGGACATTCACCGCAGAAATATGCGAGCTGGACCTGATGAGCGTAGTTGATATGTCAGGGATGGCCGGGATTACGCGTGCCGCGGTCCCAGCCCGGACTTTCAAACCGCTCAGCACACCCTAAATCACCCTAATCAACTAAACATAGACGCGGATTTGCCACGAAGTCGTGCATGGCTATGCATATGCACTGCTTGAGAGCCCACGGTCTTTGTGTCCGGTGCAGGTGGAGTACGTTGGCATCAACAGCGACACAAGCGAGGCACACGTTCTCTCAGATAATTACTTGTAGTATCACGGTAAGCGATCTCCACAGCATGTTCTGCATCCTTGCATGTGCTTATCTTTATCTCGGTGCACTCGACAGGCAGACCTAAAGCAGCGACGTGACATTTGTGATGGTCGTCAGCTCGGTGCGTGTGTTCATCTCACTGGTGCAAAGGATAGGTCACCAAACATCGGCTCGGATGTTGACATGCAGTGTCTGCAATGTCATACAATTAGTGTTTTCAATCCTCAAAGAGCTGGTGCCACCAAGACTTTTTCAAACAATCTGGAACATCTTTGCAACAAAAAGCCAGGCTACTACAGCATTTGGTCAGTCGGGCTGAATCTTTCTGAGGGGCGAAGCAGAAAGACGCAGATCCCACCCAAAGGGCCGAAAGCTCGACCCACCGGACAAGATTGCAATGAGTCTTGCGCTTTTTGTTTCGGCTCTCAACGTCCCCAAGTTGCAGCGTTGCAGCCATGGCGTCAGAAGGCGATCGTGCGAACGCCATGGGCTCCTTCAACGTCGGACCGCTTCCGTGACAGCTCATCTGCTGATGTCGCTGTCCCGAGTAGCGTCCCGGCCGAGGACCCGAAACGCATCTGGCGGCTGCGTTAATTCCGGATATGGAGGATGCGTGATAGCCTCTGCTAACATGCAATCACAGCCGACTTGACTTGATCAGAAGGCGTGTCTTAGCTCTGTTTTTTGTGCCAGCTACCTTGTCGCTATCAGCAGGAGGCCAGGCTGTGCAGAAGAGAGTTCGCTGCAGCTGAGACGCAACAGAGCAGAGAGTTTCCGTTTGGCTTTCTACCATGGGTTGACAGCTGTGACAGAATGGGACGAACCCCGAAGACCGGTTTTGCTGAAGCTCATCAGGGTTCAAGGGTGCACCCCTTGCTTCTTAGCAGAGGAAGAGGTCAGGCAAGATTGCATAAATTAAGCAGTGCCTCCTTGGTGGGCGCAGGTGTTTCAAACACCGGGTCCGGGTCGATAGGTCCAGTTGCAAATCTGACAGAGGACCATGTGCCACGATGTGTCTGCATTCAGCATCATCTTGTCAGCTTGGGGTGGGAGCGAATCCCTTGAGACTACACGCGAGAGCGGAGACAGAGCATGAACCTACAGCTTGCAAGGTCATGAGCTGGACGTTCGCCATCAACCACGCCACGGTAACAACACCAATATTGTGACCTGGATGCTTAGATTAAGTGAAAAGCCTTCTGCTCGGTGATCCCTGCAATCACACCAATGCTTAAGCATGGCTTGCACAGGTACGCATCTTCCGTGCTGACCAATTCGGCCGGCCAGGCAGGAAATGCAATGCCTGTTGCTCAGGAGCCCCGGGTGGCGTGCATTGCTTCTCTAGGGTGCTCGCTACCTGTCGTGCATCTGTTGCAGCCGAGGCTCTATGGAGCCACTCTGGTTTGCAGCCTCTTTTTCTCTGCACTGGTGTTCAGCCTCATCGGAGCGAAGAAAGGCTTATCTTTGTCGATGGGGCTGAGCCTTGTTCACAAAGACAGACTTCTTGCACTGGCGGGGACAATCGTTGGTGGAGCAGCTTGTTTGCAACGTGCCGGTGAGGTACGCAGTTTACGTCGGTCTGTTCGCAACGGCCGCATCAATGTGTGCCCGGCCCCCAGCAGGCAGCGTCGACTCGCAATGTGCATGCAGCACCGGAATGGGTTGCTGATTAAGAGTTCTGTAACATGACGCACATGAGAAGTAGACAGCACCCCATGACAGAGCTCATGACAAGAGCTACATGTTTCAGGCCGTAGCGAGTTTCAGGTTCTTAATTTCAGGACACGGACGTGCGAATTGGGACGTGCCAATGTGTTTAGGGAGTTCCATTGTTACATTGTCCTGTCAAGGTTCGGGTTGCCCATCCCTGCACCTAGCACCGCCTATAAACCTACACCAGAACCCGAAACCCTAACCCCACTAAAGCCAAACAAAGCCTAAGCTCCCCTGAACCCGAAACCCCAAAAGAAGCGGCGAACCTTAGAATCCTTAGAAGGAGTGAGCCTCAGCCGTGAACCCTACGAAAAGTCGGCTCCAGCCGAGATCCCCCCCAAACCCTACACTGCCTGGAACCCCACACCACCGAAACTAACTTTTACGCCCGACCCTGCCAGCTCCTGGTTTTTTCCAAGGGTCTTAGAGTCTTCAAGCTTCAGATGAAGGTAGGCCTGGACCCTATCGAAATCTATCGAAGCTTGGGGGCTTTGGGGCGGTCCGGTTTAGGGCTTATGATCGAGGCCACTTGGCAGTGTCCATACATGCATCTTACTTGTGGAACTGGGCAGCTGGCTTCCGGGACTCCGATCTTATTGCGCTTATGACGGCCAGGTTAACACCCTGCATTTTGCTGTTTTGCTTAGGCCATCTTAGGCCATGCGCAGCCTGGAGAGACGTTGACATGTCACAACGTCACAAGTGGCGATGTTCACGCTTCGGGGGGTCTCGGTTACATGCCGAGAAGCTTCAATTTCTCACAGAACTGAGCCGTCACACACGAAGCACCAAGCGCGATTCCAGCGCTTCTTTTGGCGACATGCAGCGACCAAGCGCCTTCGAAAGCCACAAGCCCAAGCCCCTGGACCCACAAGCACAAGACACGGGCCGGAGCCTGGGTTGGCACCAGACACCAACTTGGGCGCAAACAGTTTTCCGTGAGCGGCTAAGCACAAGGATTTTCACGGGCTTATAACTGCTTACAAGCTTCGAGTAGAGTGGGAGGCTCAGAGGCTAGGAGCTTCCAGGCCAACGTTCGAGACCCACTACTCCCAGCTTCCCCCGCTTTGCCTGCAGTGCGGTCGAGCTCGGGTCGCAGGAGTATTAAGTATACGTACAAAGGCATATGCTTTCTTGCTGGCTGGCTTGGTTTGCTTTGATTTGCTTGCTGGTGTTTGAATCTCAAAGTCCTTGGCTTCACTGTCACTAGCATATCTGCTAGCACGGTGAAGTTTATAAGTGAAAGGCGGCCAAGCCCCGGAGCCGCAGAGGTAGTACACAAGTGCTGCCAAAGTCGTATACCCAATAACTAAACTCCGCCCCCTCCACTCCCTAAACCCTCCACGCCTCCACCCCTCCCCCCTCCACCCTTCTACCCCTCCACCCTCCGGCCACCCCTCCACCCCTCCCCCTCCGGAGGTAGTATAAAATGTTTGCTTAGGTATTGAAAAATCCGCATTTTAAAAAAATAGTCACCGTGGTAATTACTTCTAATTGCAGGGTTAAAACTTGCAGGATTTGGGCTATGTGGCTCGGTTGGTGGAGTCAAGTTGAATCAAGCCATCCGACGGTTTGATAGCCGGTCTGCGACGCCAGACGTCAGACGTCCGTCGGGATGGCCGGTCACTTTGGGCCTTCATATGCCTTTATGTCACCCTCCAGCGTGTAGAAAAACTTACTGTATCAATCAGACCCACGAACTTCGAGACATACCCGGTAGGTTAGCAGAGCACTCAGGCCGAAAAGGATGCCAAAACCGGCTCCTGCATTGAGGGTATGGACCTGCAGTTGCCAACCATGCTGCTGGGAGCATTGATAGGCCGTGGGCACGCTTTAGCCTTCGTGCGGGCTTGCTGACGTGTGCGTGTCTCACGACAGGCGGCATCGGTGCCGGCATCCTTTGGACATGTCAGGGTGCATTCTTCAGCTCCGTTTGTGAGCGGGTGGCCAAAGCTGAGGGGAAGGAGGCAAGGCTGCCAAGCTTTGGCATCTTGGGCTACCTTGGGCTACCCCTGCAGATGTGGCAGGCGCAGGCTGTTACAGCAGAGTTTGCTGGGTCGTTTGCTCTGGTGTTCTTAGCCATGGAGCCGCTGAGAAGCACGGACAGTGCAGCCCTGGTAGCGAAGGGCATGCGAACGGCGCAAAGGCCTGTAACATCCTGTAACTGGGTTTCTTCCAAAACTCAGGAGCTTAGTCAGAGCGTCAGCAACCATCCTGACCAAGTATGCCCATTTGGACTACTCGGTGACGCGGCCTGCATCATCGGTTTCCTCTATGCCTGTATGCTGATCCGGCTTTCACGCCTTGACTCATGCCTGCCTCATGATGTCTTGGCGTTTGATCCCAGGTTGTCTTTTACATCTTCTCTGGCCTGGCAGTGGCGTCAACTGTTGCGTTTATGGTGGCAACCTGAACACGTACTGACTAGTACTTGTAGTGTGCAATGTTGCCGACATCGGAACGAAGCGATCCGTCCTGGTCTGAGGCCTTGGCAACCAACTTCGAGAAGCCTGCCCAGCGCGGGTCAGTCTTTGCGAAGGCAGTGCCGCATCGAAAATAGGCTGAGTCGCTCGTGACTGTGTTTGCCCCGAGGTTTTGAGTGCAGTCGCGCTTTGGAGTGATCCAAAGATCTGGGCTCTTCACTCCAATGGTCCATGCTTGTGAGATCGACGAGTTGTCACAGCGTTGTCTCCTGTTCAGTGTCCGAGCATGTCCTGGAGATTCAGCCTTGGACAGAGTTCCAAGGTCCTACAGTGCACCAATTTGACATTCGGATTTGCAGCTGCATGGCTTGGTGGCTATGTAGGGAGGCCATGGCAGCTGCTTCACTTTCGGCCTGCCGACATTGTTGCTGCTGATTACGCCACAGGAACATCCTCACACCGGCGCTAAGCAGCGAATTCATCGGCTTCGCCGGCTCCTTGCCTCAGCTCTTCGAGCCTTCGGGGACCCTGCGGGGGGATTCGGGTCGGGTCCTTCGCTCCTGAGGTGCGATGCTGTCGGGATTGGCAAGCGTGCTGTCCAAAGTCTTCGGTGTGACTGCTGCGAGCCTTTGCCCCCGAACTTCCCTAATTGTGCAAAGTTTCGGAAATACCCCTTGCCCTGATCGCTTCGCAAAGACCCAGGAAGACCGGCAAGGGGCCTGTTGTCGCCTTGGGAGCTGTCAGCTTTCTTCTCCTGGGTGTTCTAAGCAGGCCCGGCCCGCAGTTCATGTCCCAGTATGTCAAATTCTCTCCTTGCCCTGAGAGGTATTTGGGGCATCCAGCGACCTGGGGGTGGGGCGTCTTGGTTTCTTGACTGCACTTTAGTAGGCGCAGTGTTATCGAATCGCAGAGCCATGGTTTTTCTCTTGTCTACATGAGGTGTTCTACGTCTTCATGGGGATTGGCAGAGCCGTATACGAGAGTACGAACAAGGCGATTTTTGCAGATTTCTTCCCTGGGGAGGCTGGGAAATCGCCCAAGCGTTTGAGAAAGTGAAAGTGCTTTGAACTCTTCGACTTGCACGGGGCTGCCTGCGATTGCTAGGCGAGCCCGGGTGCCTTTGCCAACGTCTTCGTCTTCGGCACCGGTGCGTCCACAGCAGCCTTTATTCTTGGAGCCACACAGCAGGCCTCCTCTGCTTCGACTACGGTCATGTTAATTCAACCACGTGATCTGGCGCCAGACTGGAACATGTCTTTATCGGGGTTCAAGTTTGAATTCGGGATGTTAGCTACGGTCTTGTAAGCTTTCTTGTTTGAGTGCTCCGGGAGCACTGCTCCCGGAACCTGACCCACAGAATAGTGGCAACTGCTAATTCGTTTCGCGCCCTCTGCCACTCCGCATCCCAGCGTGGAGGAGGCGCTCAAAGGGTTTGTCACAGCACCCACAGTGAATCTGCAAACCACATTCGGGGTCTCCCAACGGTCTCCTGACTGGCAATGACACGCACTAGTTTTTTGCGAGTGGGTTTCTCAAATAGTTTGTTCTCTGACTAGCATACGAGAATCTGATTTCTTGTTTGATAAGGTTTTTAGACATAGCGATTCCCGATTCACCATATGAATGTTTCCGAAGTGGTTGGGTTTAAATTAGGGAGAGCAGTGCAGCATAGAACTAATGCAGAGGGGTGCACTTGTCAACAGCTGCTGATCACATCTCTCTGCGGGCAGGACCAGGCAGAGGATTGGCTGCTCATCCTCTTCGCGATCTTGACCATCCCTGGCTACCTCGTAGCCTCGCTCATCAGCAGAAAGGAGGCCTCCACAAGCCACTGCCTGCAAAATGGGCAAGCTCGCTGGCCATGCAGGACGGTGAAACCACTGACAGCTCCTCATGCTAGACTACCCAGACTGAAATCGAGCAGATGGCTGCGCTCCATGGAAGAATCATCTGGTCTTTCAGCATCGTAACCGTTTGTGCATGCTCCTTGGTGCTGTGGTAAGGACGCCCGCTGCTTGATCCGACCCGTGGTACAGATGCACGAATATGCGCCAAAGTGACAAAGCCAGCAAAGCCTCTGTTCCCTGCCAAGGGGGCGTGGGATTCAGAGAAGCTGCCCGATGTGTTCGCTTTATTCTGACGACTTCGAAGACCTAGGAACAGAAGACAAAATACAGCAGATGCAAGGGCTGCTTGACCTGCAGTACAGGAGGCGCTTTGCTCTTCTGAGCTGTTGGGCTCAGAGTTTCACCTCTGGCGCTGCTTGTTTTCCGGCAATTTCATGCTGCCTTTCGCTTATCGGACACCTTCGCAGAAGCTGTCGAGAAAGACTCAAAGCATGAGCTGTAGCCTCACGCATGCCGTGCAAGAGACTTCGACTCGTCAGAGGCCGTGTTGTCTATGTGGATCAGCCGTGCGAGCCCCACGGGAAAGCATATTGGCAGCTGCAACCGCCGGCACCGTTTGAGCAATGTCAGGACTTGGCATAGGCTGGTTGCACCGGTTTCGCTCCTTCTCCGCGATTTGAGGCCTGTGCGAGCTGCGCTCCACGGTCGCATTCTGGTGTGGCCTGCCTGCAAGAAGCACAAAGATTTACCACAACATTCTCGGGTCACAGCGTGTGACAGCCAGAGGCTGGAGGGCATAGAGAAAGCCGAGCGCAATGTCCTGTCCTTACGCATGCACGCGCAGGGGACCGCATGGAGACAGCAATCTCAACAACACAGATGCTATATTTGCATTTTTTTTGCGAAACTGTTGCTGAGGTCATTTCATGACATTCTGGCAATGTTTGCGCAAACAAAAGGTTCTGCAATACATATTAACTGACCCAGAACACACTGCGTCCTGCAGACACAGTTTTCAGGAACATGCAGATGTCTCGAACGAAAGAACTGCAGAACACAAAGCCATTGAGTTCTGGAGAGTATGCTCTCAGCATGGTTGCCGACAGATGCTGCTGCAAGGAACCTTGCCTTGTCCGGAGCTTTTGCGTGTTGTTGTGCAAGTCTGGGCTCTGAGAAGGCAGGCTTAGGATTCCGTGCGGCAATGGCGGCGATGCCAAGTCTGGGCAACCTGTTTGCGCTCGCCGTGCTCGCAGGACTGGGGCTGACGTGGGCCGAACCAGAAGCCAGTGATGCTTTGACTCGCGACTCCGAGTGCGAGCAGGGGCAGTGTGCTCTGAATGCTCTACAGCCAATGGGATTGCACTAGAGAAGAATCTTTTCTACTCAGAGTCTCAGGTCCAACTGTCCTAACTGCAACGCATAAGCGAAATCTCGCAAAGTCACGATGAATGTAAGGGTTGGTAAGCGACTCTGCCGCTTTTGAATTGGTTTCGAGTCTGGTGCCCAGCCCCCCCGAGGTTGCAAAAGGCGGCTGTGGACGAGCATAAGGATTCCGCGGGAGAAAATGCGTCTGTGGAGTTCAACCTTTACGGCTATCACCACTGGGCAACCACCACCGTTTATGGAGATGCACCACGTGCAGCTTGCGGGGGGGTCAACACCGCTCAGCTCGTGAGAGGAACCCCATACTACAACGTGGCATCGGCTCAGTCGATGTGGCTGAACTGTGGTGGAACCGGGAGTTGCTGGTGTGGCCAGAGCGGCGGGGGTGGCGGAACTACCGGAATGGGTTGCTTTTCATGTGCCAAAGGCCGCTTCCTTCGCAGCTCTTATGGAACGCGGGGAAAGGCATTGTGGGCGCTCCTGGAAGAAGAGAAAGAGGAGACGAGCAGCACTGCCTTTATCACCGAGAACTCAAGCTCGCCCTTCGCGTCGGGGGAGATCGTCATCGTAGTCGGTGACCTGTGCCCCAGTGCAGGGAACGAAGATTGGTGTCCGAAAAGTCCCGGAAGGCGCAACACCTATGGATCATTTCACCACCTTGACTTCTCGCACTATCCGTGGAACATCGACACACGGCGCTCGGTGCCAAATCTTAATTTCGTCTTCAGCAGGATGGAATGCCCACATGAAATTCGGGAGCGCCAGCGCCATCTGTCCAGGTGCAGGTAGCACTACGATGCTACGGTAGCACACCTCACCTATTTTGCTGTTTTGATCCAACTAGAAATGCCTGTCGCACTGCTGTTTTCCGTTAGAGCCCGAGAAGGCATAGAGATCGTAAAGTTGTAGAGCTTGATCTGAGCAGCTGGGTTCAACCCATGCTACCCCACCTTGCCAGACCATGACAATGCTGAGAGAAAATCACGTCTCCTGGTCAACATGCATTTCATTCTGTCACAACCTTGCCGATGCCGATGCCGAGCACATGTGCAGAAGGTCCTGCCGCTGTTGAACAACCTCCTGGAGAATCGAGAGATGCAGCTGGAGGTTCTGTTGGTGCTGTTCCACTAGTTCTGCTCATGAGCATGGTTCTGCATACTTGCAAATTGATACTCTGCATGGCTGCAGGATGGGCGGTTTCTCAGCCGATTTGCAACAGGACATCATGTTGTCAATGCTCGTGCAACTCCCTATAAATATTGTCGGAATGTTGAGAAGTAACTACTGTAGGCCGGCACTTCGTTCCTCTCAGAGTCGTCGAGACCCTTCAAGCTTTGCATTCCCGCAGAAGCGAATATGGTTCTATAGTTGGTGTTGGTTTTGTCCCGCGCCTTTGCAGGTCTGCTTGATGTTCGCTCAAGACTTTAGATAAAGCCTCCCCCTGCCGTGGCCAGCCGAACTTCCCCTTAAGCAGGCGAATGCGCAGGGCATGGCACCGATGGCACCGTCAAGGACGGCTGAAGACAAGTCTCGCAGGTCGCTTGTACACGAACAGTTGCGACAAGACAAGACAAGAGCCTGGCACTGGCAACGTTGGAGCAGAAGTGAGGGTGCACCAGGACTGTGAGATGGTTCGGGTTAGCCCAGACTTCCTTGTCATCGCCATAGGCCGGTTTTGCGGCTTTCCAACACTCGTTTTGTTCATGGAAAGTGATGAAAACATGTTCACTGTCATCGCCACTCAGTCTGAGAGACACATGTCCTGCTGCGTTTTGTCACATATGCAGCACATATGCATCTTTGTGACAAGCAGTCGCTTGATACCACGCAGGCATGCCATGCCGTGGGAATCCGTTGGATCCACCACTGCAGCTCCCTGAGTCCATGTTGAACATACGCACACTGTCTCCTCGCACATGCGACATTCTCTGAAACAAGGTGAATTGAGGATGTTTCGGGCCTGAGGGTTTTGGTTGGAGAGTGCCAGCCTGGATATTTGTGCGTAGGGTCTAGGCAGGTTTCGAAACCAACCTGCAATCCTACAGCTTGGGACGATGCAGGCTGTGTCAAGGTAGTTGTTCTTGGAGAACCCAGTCGAAAAAAATACACGGAGGCTTCAGCTTGTCTTCATTCAAGAACTTTGCTCTTTGGACTACTAAGTCAACTAGGAACTCAATTTTCTTCCAGAGGTGTGCTGGCCGTTCCCTTCCTTCCTTTAGTGGACGATGCTCTTCGGGAGTTCTATCCCCGTCCCAGGGTCGTCTTCGACAATTGAAGTCTAACCATGTAACAATGCTTTTCACAGTTCCTACAGGTACTGTCTTTCCCAGGTTTGTAGCTCTCTCAAATCTCAATTGTGTCTGTGATTTGTCCTGCGGATTTGTCCTGTCTATTTCCTGTTTACAGTTTCGTTTTTTGTCCTCTCCATGTCCTATCAACTGTACAGTGTATTTCCTGCTCTGTCATTTTTGATGTTGGAGTTGGCCTCGAGGTAATTGTACAAAATACGGACGAAAAATCATGTTATGCTCCGGCTCAGGGTGGGAGCCACAATTTGCATTTCTCTAGCTCATGCGACAAGGGATTCTGACCAGAAACACCGACAAACTGACTACACGTGCATCCGTGTATCGTCGCAGGCTGCAGGAGCGTGCATCGCGTTTCCACGGTTGATTGCTCTGCACTGCAGGCGATCTCGCTTCGCCAGCCACAACATCCATCGACGGAGGGCTGCAGAGGCACGCATCGATCTGGCATCAGTCTGCTGCGAATTCGCCAGTGTCGCAATGCCTTGCACTAGCAGATAGGGATTGGCATTGCTGAGCAGGCTGTGCAGGATGCCTCAAGGCATGTTCCTGGGGTGACGGATGCCATCCTCAAGAAAGTCAAAGCTGTGCTCTGATTCCACGAATGCACAAATTCAGGGTGTTTGTGCTTGTGAGTCGAGGCATGATGCCACACTGAATCTCGTGCCGCTGAGGTGCTGGAGGAGGTCGAAATCAACGCCATCAATTTGAAAAACAAGGTTGATGCTGAAGCTGTGGCTGACGCTCCCAAAAGGCGTGTATGCAAATGTGCTTTCAGGGTTCGCCGATCCCAATGATGATGCCTGACAGCGCAGCCTCAAGCATGCTGCGTCCGCAACCTCAGGCCGTGCCTTCGCAGTCCCATGGCACATCATGTCACATGAATGGCAGACTCGTGCATTGCGGAAGAAAGCTGTCGGGTGCAGCCTGGTGAAGCAGTGCGGCTCGCGAGGTTGTCATCGATGATTCAGTGGTGTGAACACATTCGGAGTGCAGCTAACGTGTTCGTCAAGAGTTTGAGACGGAATCGTTGAGACATAGGAACTATTCCGTGTGATGCATTCTCACAGCCATGGCTGGGCTATCGCATGAAGATGCCAAACGGCGAATTCAGAGGGGCGCGTTTCATCGGGAGGCACATCCGTTCAACCTGCAAGATTGGGGGCCATTTCATGCCTTGCTGGCCTTGCTTGCAGCTTCTAGCAGCATCTTGCAGCGTTCTTGTCTGGAGGTGGTGCTCGAGACAGTTCGCCAATATGGAGATCTTCTCGGCTTTGCACAGGGAAAATACCACAGGCCTCCTTTGTATCTTTGCGAGCAGTTGCTCTCCCTGTCTCGCTACGAGCTGCAGGGATCCTGAAGTGGTCCTTGCAGCCGTCGCGTCAAGCAGCTGGGCCATGAGATATGCTGCTTGACGGCCTCGGGCAATCAGAAGCATTTGTGATGGAAGGAGCAAGGTAGAGATGTGCCAGACACACGAAACATTGAGGTTGACCAGAGCCTTCTAAATGACGACAGCTTTGTGCTGCAGATTTTGCGAGCCAATCCATTGGCCTTGCGATTGCTTCCGGAGCTCGTTGCAAGGGAGAAGCAAGGAGGCTCAGGTTTCAGATTCTGGGCACAGCATGAGCTCCGCATGCTCCGCTCTCCAGGAGCAGTTCCGATCGGATCGGAGCTTCGTCTTGGCCGCGGTGACTGGGGACGGGCGCAGCCTCGCTTTTGCGGCAGTGGAGCTGCGCTGCGACACGGGCTTCGCTACGCAGGCTCTAGATGGCTTTGCAGGGAGTGGCAGTCGGTGACAGGGACGGGCTTTGGGCTTTGCCACAGGCTGTTCGAGCGAATCCGGATGCCTTGGAATTTGTGCCAGAGCACTTGAAGGCCGGAAACCGCATCACGATGTCGGGTGCCTAGTCAGTTTGCACTGACGATTGAGAAGCACGCTGAAGCCCTTTTTGTGAAGTATGGCATGGCCGCAGAAACGGCTGAGTGACCATGTGTTGCCGCATGCATCTCGCATCATCGACCTTGTCAAGGACATGTTTTGCCCACTGCAAGATACGATTGGTGTAAGGGGAACACAGGAGTAGAGTGTCGGAAGTGGCCGTCACATCGTGTTGCTGTCCATGACACGTGCATTTTGGTTGTGGCAGGAATGCCATACTGCATGACGTGCACCTCGCACACTTGTCTCGTTAAGAGACCTGGAAAGTTGAGACCGTGAAGGATCGTGAAGTATTCCTAGCTTGCCTCCGACTGTGATCATCGTCCAATTAGCCTGAGAAACTCGTCTTCTGAGTTGGGCGCCGGATTGCACAGAGCATGCCATGATATGGCATATGTCTAGATAGTTCTTGTCAAGCATCCATATCTTTCACATACTGAGCTTCCTCATGCCAGGCAGACCGCGACTTTGTTGCCATCGCGCTAGCAAACGATGGGCGTGCTTTACGATTTGCCTCAGCGCAGCTTCGTGATGACCGAGAATTGGTGCTGTCGTCGGTGCAGCAGAACTCTGCGGCCATGGCGTTTGCAGGCAATGTTGGGCGCCCCACATGTATTGCTCAATGCAACAGGCAACTTTTGACTTCAGGTGCATCTCTTCTAGAAGATCGTGGCTTTGTCTTGGAAGCAGTGCAACTCCATGGTGTGGCGCTGGAACACGCTCCACGTTTCCATGGAGACGAGGCCGTGCGCCATAATTAGCGCAGACTTTCACAAACGTGTGTAGGTGCACAGAAATACTGAAATACTGCGCAAGCCCGGACAGGAAGTTGCTCTGCATGGGATCGCTTCTTGTGCTGAAGCTATGCGATTCGCGGATGGCTTGCGAGACAGACGAAGCTTTGCATTGCAAGCAGTCAAGACAGCAGGCGGGCGGCAGCCTGCGACCCATTGCCGCCCCATCTTCATGAGACTTTCGGGGATTCTACGTGCAGGTCGGAGCCTCCGATACGTTTCAGCTGAGCTTCGTGGAGACAAGGAGCTTGTCCTCGCACCTTTCAAAGCATTGCGTGTTCAGACATGGCTTTCTGTTCTGTGCAGCTTTGCCCCTTTGGTTTGATATCCTTCGATACTGTGCCGTGCTTCGGTCTCTGCCTTCGTTGTGAGGCGGCTCTTGCGAATTCTGGCGTGGCACTGGAGTTCGTATCTGAGGAGCTCAAGGAAGACGAGGAGGCTGCGTGGTTCTCCGCTCCGCTCCCAGCCACAGCAGCGCCTCGCATTGACGCGCAGGTCGTCTGGTGCGCCGTTTCTCAGGCACGAGAGAGAGGCCCATTTTCCCTTCTATTGGAGCTCCCCGCCTGGAGGACATCTCTGCTCTGCAACACGCACCAGCCTTCCGGGCCAATGCGAAGTTCCTGCTGCGCTGTGTCGCGTGTCGGTCATGCGACGTGCTGGAATACGCCGACAGAGGACACTGTCTCAGAATCTGTGAGGCCGTCCGTGGCTTTCCCTTTGCCCCGAACCAGTCTTGTCCGACATTCTTGCTGCTGAACTGTACTCTGTCCCAGGCCTGACAGCGGACAAGGAGTTTGCGTTCAGCGTTGTCGCCCAAGAGCCGTGGCTTCTGTAAGTAAGACTTGATATAGACTACATCGCATTCCAAGCGAGACTTGAAGTATCGTCAAAAACTGGTAGCTTGTGTGATCCCAATCCCTTGTGATGCCAAGGACGTGCACTCTCTTCGCTTTTTGGCATCTGAGCTGCAGTGCTGCAGGCACAGCAGCGGTTCGCCGGTACCATGCTTCCCAGTCGACGTACTCATGAGCGCGCAGGGGTTCGCGTGAACACGCCGCATAGCTCTCCCTTGCGCGAGCCACGTGCTCGCTAGAGGGCCAGGGTGAAGTCTCAAATCTGTTTCTTGAAGGTGTCTGTCCGTCCAAGAACGCTTGCATGTTATCTTTCTGTGGCGATAAGGTCTTGGTGGTTATGCAGAGACCGTGTCTCTTGTGTCGGATCGTGTTCGTGTGTCGTGCACGCCTGCCGGAGAGCTCTTTTACCATCTTTTTGCAGGATACATAGCTTTGACCGCGGAGTATCGTGCATACATTCTGAAATTCTAATCGGCGCCGAACTGGAGCCAGCGAAAATGAAAAATGGCTGCAATGGAGCATCTTTCCACCAGAACATGACACTTCCCTATTTCGGGAAAAGCATGCGGAAGACTCGAGCGGTAGTTCACTCACTCAGACTCACTCATGACTCATGCGATGGCAGGTTTGTCGCCGGGATAGGTGCTGGAGGAATTGATTTAAGTTCTGCCTAGCGTTCTGGGGTTAGGCGGAGCCGATGGGAAGCTCCAGGTAACGCTACAACTCTAAGTGATTTTTCACATCCATGACAAGGCCCTCTAGGCATGCGAGAAGCACCCACGCCCCAAGAAGGGTAGAGCCGCGGTTGAAGAAATTCAGGGGCCTCGAAAGCCATACTCCCCCCCTGGCCTGGCCTCCGCAGGGATCTGATCCTACACGCCACGGCGCTCGATGAGACGGCTTCACTCTCCTATGCTGGACAGAGTTTGCAGACGTTGTATTGCTTTCGTGTGACTGTCGAAGAGTGTCGAGTGGGTGCAAAGGAGAGCTTGCTGAGCCTTTAGAGAGCTTCTTGTCTGAAGCCCGACGGCTTGGCAGCGCCGGCGCAATGGTGCGGCGCCACCCAAACAGCAGGAGACTGGTGTGGCATTGGTCGCTGAATTCGGCCCTCTCGTTGACATCGCCTCAGCGCCTGAAAGTGCAGAGGAACATCGTCCTGCGTGGAGTCGCCTGGCACCCGCTCTCGCTGTGGCGACCTGGCAGCATTCAGAGAGGGAAGGAAAGAGAGAGTAAAGCTGTGTTGCCGTTTTCAAGTTGGTGTTAGTGAAACCAGGACAGAAGAGCGAAGGTGTCATGAGACACGAACGCATGCAGCTAGGGAAACTGCATGCAGCTGATGGAATCGCGATGAGCCCTGGATATGCACTTCAATTCACGCACGTGTCGAAGTGACCGTAAATACCGATGCTGCTTATACATGAGAGACAACAGGCAGAGAAAGAAAACTGTTGAGAAACAGCCGACTAGAAGGGTGGTACATGTGTTTGTATATACATATATATATATATAGATGTATGTAAAATACCTGACCTGGAAGCTCTGTTTGGCCAGCCGCTTTCTTGTCATATTTCATTCCGTAACTGTTATAGTAGGTGGGTGGTCTTCCTCATCCACACCATCATCACGTACATCATCACTCTCACCATCATCATCATCGTCATCATCATCATGAGCATCATCATCATCGTCACCGTCACAATCACAACCACAATCACCATGATCATCATCACGATGATCATCTTCATCATCAAGAACAAAAAAGGTTAGCCTATCCTAGGACCGTAAGGAGTGTGATAGCAGTTCTTCATTGTTTAATCCTCGGACATCATCGGACAAAGAGGACTACGCTATACCACACCTGAATACATGGGGCCATGATCATAATTCATAAGTATGTCGAACTTTTACGTTTTGCATCATGAATAGAACAGCCCAAATCTCTGTCAAATATCATACCAGAAGAAGCAGACAAAAAAAATCATAGTGAGGGTAGTTTTCCACATGCAAGGAGCAATAAAGCAAAGATCTGCAATATTTTTTCCATAAGAGCAAAGACAAACCTTTTTCCTTCATACACAGCGGGGAAACAACCTGTTTACCGGTAAGAGAGCTCCGGCCATCCTTCAACACAACAGGAAGTTGTCTTCTCTTCATATCGTAATAACACGGGTGGGCACACTTCTGTATCTCTGTGCCTTGGCTAACAACAGTCAGAACAGCTTCCTTACATCGTGACAGCAAAGCTCCTTCTTTCTCCCAGTATTGAAACGAAAATGAGAGAAGAGTTTTCGCAACCATGAGAAGCCAGAAGAGAAAGAAGACATTTCCTACGCTGCTTATTCAGAAGCTCAGTAAAACAGTGTTTCGTTTTGGGTTTGTTCGGTTGCTAGTTCCGGTTCCTGCGATTCACGGCGCTTTGCTTTGCGGCCCGGCTCGGTTCGGTACAAAAAACCGGCCAAGCAAAGGGCGCCCTTGGGACAGGAGTGGGATGGAGGGGTGAGTTTTGCGGGTCGGTTCGGCAGTTGGTGATTTTTGCGGCACATGTGGGTGTTCAGTGCCAGTTAGTTCGACCACTACACAGCTAGGCTCAACAATCTCAGTTGTTTTTCAATCTTGAAGTGCGAATATATCGCAAAATGCAACAATCACAAAAATTCCCACAATCCTGGAATCTTTGGTTTGAAGCCGGACGGCGTTTGGGCAACGTGATGTTGGGCAGTGTTGTTCCCCGCCGAGATGTTGGCATCCCAATTTAACAGCCTGCCGTCAGGCTCAAACATACCCTCAGTTTCCACAGCAAATGCGTCCGAGGGCATCAAGAACATTCAAATTTCCCAAACTACTGAGACCTATTCATTTGAGATGGTTTTTCTGTTTGACAGGATTTTGGGTGTGTTTCATTCCTGCCAAGGTTTTGGATTGCCAGATTAGAAAAGGGCGACCAGGCTCAAAAACACAGTCACAAAGACACACTAGGGGCAGAGTTGCCCAGGTTTGGGGTATTTTGGGCCTTAATTTTTGCCGAGATTTTTGCATGTCAGGTTTTGGGAATTTGGGGACTTCAGATCTCTGCCGAGGTTTTTGCAAGCAGCGACCACCGCTGATATCTGTCTACCTTTCTACCTACCATCTAGCTATCTGTCTATCAATTTTTCTATTTATCTGTCGATCTATCTATCTTTAAACCTTGAACTTGCCTGCAATTCTACAAAAACTTATAGAAAGGCGTCCGTACGCAGGTTTGTGCCTGCATTCATGTGCGTACGAGCTTTGATGCCAAGCAGCGAAGATACATCGGCTGAAGCCTGCGTGTAGATTTGCGTAGTAAGAGTTCATTAGTTGGGGCTTACGACATCATACGACCGCGCGAGGTTCGCTTCGGCCAACCTCAAGACCGCTACCTGGCCCTTCATTCACATTCGGCAGTCGATGTTCACATTGCCTGATTCGCATGCTAGAGATACTGCGAGCTACGTCAGCCCAGGATCCTGAGTTTCAGGAGCAAGCGGCGTGGTTGAGCAACCAAGCTCCCGTTGCAAGTGCGGCGGCTGCACCTTCCGGACCGTGGTTTCTTCACTTGCCTTTGTAGCTTCGTCGTGCCAGTTACTGCCAGAGTCCGGAAAGCCGCATGCTTGCTGCAACTGGAGTTCAGGAGACTTCCCGCTTTTCGATGAGAGGATGTCAATCCCTCCGATGCCCGTCCCCGCATAGCTGAGCCATTTTTTGGCTTGGTTCTTTGCTTGTCTTCGGGCCATCCCGAGACGGCGGAGCATCTCAACATGAGGTGCGCTCGAAGATGGGGACGCTCGAAGGTTCATCCACTCGCCGAGTGCGGTTCCAGAGAATAGCTCGAGCTCGAGATCACTGCAAGGTTGAAGAAGCCAGGGCTAGATGGAACCTGCTGTGCCTCTGTACATATGCTTCCTCATACTTCTGGCTGCGAAGCGCCGCATGACTCGTGACATGGTGCGAATACCGCATCGTGTGGTACCATTCCGCAGCAAGAAGCAACAATAAGGAAAGTCGGAATCAAGCCAGGAGGAGACTCGTCGTGCTGCGCTTGGCACATGCTCGTCGCTTTTGTCTAAGGCGTGATGGAGCTTTTTCCGAATGCGTCGGCTTTTGCGACAATGAGGCACGCGTCTCGACTCCGATGTGCAATGCGAGCCATGCGTGCCTGTGCCGGGTGAGCCACCGAAAGGCGAAGCTATCCGCTGGACCTCGTGCACGCTGGGGTGACCAGCTCAGTGGCGCTGGCATCCCAATGCGGTGCAACTCAAGGTGCCATGCTTGACAGGCATCAGAATGGGGGGCATCTGGCAAAGGAAACAAACAGGACGGACAAGGGGTTGTTGCGCGACAGTGGATCGGCAGTCGCCGCAGCAAGGCATCTTCAGGATGTCTGGTGGAGGCCGTGCGAAAGTCTGAGGAGAATTGCAGGTATCTCAGCACATTCAACAACAAAGTACGGCGGCACAGTTAGCCTTTCAAAGCAAAAGACGTTCTCTCAGGCAAGGCCACAGTGACATTCCGTGATCAACAGACTGCAGAGCTCCAGGCCGAAGTCAAGAGCTGCTGTCGGAACATAGCATCAGCGTTTCTTGCTACTGATGGACCCATGTGGAGTACAGGACGTTGCAGTTCCTGCTGGCAACTGGTCGACTTCTTAGGGGCGGAAATGCAAGCCACGACTCCAGGTCCAAGTCCAAGGTGTTGTGTTTCTTTTCTTAGGCGAGCGGGGAAGCTTCAGGCTGGAAGCCTGCGCTTGACTCCCACGCAACAGCGTCTTGCCTAGTCCTCGGTAGGAAGCATAAGAAGACCGACTGGAGATGCTTCTTGCGCGAACTGGACTCCACTCAGCACCAGGTGGGGGCAATCATGCAAGACCATGCCGCTGGTATGGATATCTGCCTCGTTGGAGAGAAGGCATGCGCTCAGGGTTGCGAGAGCTTTTTCGGTTTTTTCCTGCCACAACGTTCTGCCTGACAGGGCGTTGGCAAGAGTGCACTGGTCCGAGCATTTTCAGAGCAGCTCGGGTTGCGACGGCGGGTGATATTCTGCTTCAAGGCACATGGGTGTGGGGGCCGTCGTGAGCAACTTCCATCTTGTCCCGTTCTGGGTCAGGACCTGCTCGCTCGAGACTTGCTGCAGCGGCGCACTACGGACCAAGTTGGGCAGACACAGTGGCAAGACTCTGCACTCGTGCAGGCCGTGTTGCCTGCCAACCTTGCCGTGCTTGTACGAGCATATACACACACACACACACCGCATTAAGTCACTTCTTAGCTCGACACTACTGTCCTCACACGTCACAGCTGGAGCCGCATGCCGAGTGCATTTTCGGAAGTTACGAAGTTTCCGAAACCGCTTGTCTCGCGAGCCAGTTTGACCATGCCTAACACGATCACTCGGAGCCACTTCAGAGTGCCGAAATCTCAGGCGCGAATCTGGCGAGATGACATGGTCCAGTGAGTCTAGTGCTGCTGGTCGTGTTCACGCATTTGAATTCGAGGAAGTTGGATGGCAATCTTGCTCACGCAAGGCGGCCATTGGCGGGGACATAGCAGTGTTGGATGGCCTGCATCGCTTGGCACATGGCCACGTGGCTATCCTCGGCTAGGGCCTCGCGGGGGAAGCTGTGGCTTGCTGTGCACGTTCGTGATGATGAAGCCTTTCCGCGAGGCCCGCTTCTGGCTGACCGAGAAGCAGTGCTGCCGGATGGCTCCCGCCTGGTGGGAGAGCCGTAGGGGAGGGTGGGGAGGGTCGGAGGAGTCGTTGAAGCATGCCTTTCATTGCATGCATGGCCGATTCAGCTGCTTGTCTGCATGCTTTCTTGGATGATCTTGAAATATCTTGGGTGGCTGATGCGGGACAGGCGTCTGGGTGTGTCTGGTTGTCAGTTCATGTTTGTGCTGCACCATGCTGCAGCTAGCCTGGTCGTGCAATCCCCTTAATTTAGAATCTTTGAAGGTGTCACCAGAGAGGTGGAGAAAGCTTATTGCTGTCAAGGGCCTGTGCCAGGACTGTCCCGCGCCCAGCATTTTGATGGCAAAGTGTCCACAGTGCAACTGCCACGTGAGAATGGTGCAGGCAGGGAGTTTGAAGAGGCGCATGTGCGCTTTAGAGCTGCCAGCACCCGAGTTAAGTCTGCAAGGCTTGCATCTGCACGGAGCTTGTCGCCTTGCTTCAGGTGCATCCCTCTTTCCGCTGCGTGGCCACTGCAGAAACTCAAGCATCACAGCGGGAAGGAGCACCAGTTGCGAAGCTGGCAGTCAAGATAGCTGTTAGCTAGGAAATGACTAAGGCTATCGGGCTATCTAAATACTCCGTCTCGCAATGGTGCGCATGGGCTCGCCTGGGGTTTTAGCTCATCGGAATCGACAGGACGGCAGAATCTTTGGCTTGATGACGAGGCGAATCGTAGCAGTAGCCGGAGGGCATTCCGAACGTGAAGAAGTTGATGGCAGGTGGCCACACTCTTCCACTTCCACTCTGTGGCTCCATTGCCTGCTCAGGCGCTGAAATTGTTGCGAAGTCCGGCGAAGAGGGACGCACAACCCAGAAGCCCTCCATTACACCTGTCTCGTGAGCTTGTTTGGCTCACACCAGGAACAAGTGCAGCTGGCGACCCGGTCGAGGGTGTGGGAGCCCCGTTTTGATGTCTCGTCTCAAACACACAGCCATGGTCAGGAATAGTAGCGGTCGCACGTACATTCCCTAGAAGGCCCGAGAAGTCAGAACCAGCTTGATATAGCTCGACCATAATCATAGCTAGCTTCGGCAACTGAGGTCCAAGAACGAGCAGGCACAGAGCATCCGATATTCCTGGCTTTACTTCCGTGTGACTGCCGCAGTCGGCACGTTTCCCACGGCCACGGCGAGGTCTTCCAAGGTCTCATTATGTTCGGTGAGAAGATGCGAAGCGCTTCGCTCGAAGATCCCGGGCTGGAGCCTTTGAGGCGACAGCACATCCACGGTCCACGAGGCAGTGAGACGCGCGCGGGAGGGCGCGTCCATGTCTCGGCAGGATGACGCTGCGGATCTTGCTGCGCATTGCTGTGCACCTCGACAAGCGGCCTGGCGATGTGGTGGGCGCCATGTGAGCATCTCAGAGTAGATGAATTCCTTTCTGAGATGCACTGAGTAAGTCCAAGATGCCAGATGGTCTCGGCAATGCTGCCAAGTTTGTACACTCCACTCTTGCGCCCGTGCAGCTCGAAGCCGAACCCGTCCAAGCAGCTAGCAGTGCAAGCCCACAGCTGGCCCTTAGCCTTATCTTAGCCTTGGCATCCCCTGCTGCGGGGTCTCCCAGGAGCCGCGTCTTCTCAGCATGCTTGGACTTCTTACCGCCGTCCTCCCAGGAGGCTCGAGATCGAAACTCAAATGGCCGGGACTGTGACGGCTTTTGTGAAGTCTTGAGTCTTTGGTGCTAGGCTGTGCACCGTATCCTGCAAGCAGCGCTGAAGGCATCAGGCGAAGCTGCTTTTGCAGCAATACGAAGTTGTTTTGCCAGTCCTATGGAAAGGCTCTGCTGCTTTGCATCTATGTGCTTGCCCTTCTCGAGGTGTGCCCATCACGCACTGGGTGCCACATGCGCTGGCAGACGACGATTCGAGAAGGCGTCGACAGGCCAGAAACATCCAGAAACTGCAGCGTGCTTCGGTTTTCGCATCTGTTTCCATACTGCGGAGGAGCTGCGGGAGCTTGAAAATATTGCCATTCAGGACGAGTGGCAGACTATGTCGGAAGCTGGAGAATCGGTGCAGTTTGGATCACAGGCGAGGATGTTTGGAGGCGGTGGCCAAGAAGTGGACGAAGCCAGGGAGAAGGCAGAGTCTGACAGGTCCCCTCCTGCCTTTGCGACTTGTTGCAGCGCTCCTTTGCATGTATCCTTACCTGCATGCAGGGAGCAGCAACGTCGTGCAAGACTCGAGAGCCTGCGAAAGCAAGGTGAAGCCAGCCTTTTGAGGACTGACCGCGAGATCCTAGTCTTGGAAGATTGGAGCGGTGCACTTCACCGTTTTGGAGACGTTGGTATCTCCAGACTTTGGTTTTACGAAGATTGAGGATCATTGTGTTTTCAATCGCTGGATTTCGTGGGAGTAGGAGGTACTGAGCACGTGCTTCAGTGTGAGGCAGTTGCACTTATGCCTTGCTGAACAGGTGTCACCCCAGCTACCTTAAATGTACTGTCAGCTTCGTGGTCTTGTCTGTTCGATTCGAGGACTGTGCGATGTCTTGGCATGCCCTTGCCTCACCGCAGGAAACCAGTTGAAGCTGCCCGAGTGGCAAACGGCATCCTGAAGATTGGAGATGTTTCATGTCCCCTGCGGGTGCCAGCCAGGCAATGTGCGTGGCAAGAGTGGTTAGATCATCTGAGAGCTCAGCCACCAGTGAAGATCCGCACTAGGCCAGAGTTGGTCCCCGATGTGGCCTTCGTTGACATTCCACAGCATGTCGACATCCTCAAGGGCATGCTACTTGATTGGTCGCTTGGTCGGGGCCCCACTCGTCGGCAACTGTGATCGTATGCAGCAGCAGGCCAGACCCGAAAGACATTGCTAAGTTGAAAAGCGCCTCAGAAATCTTACCGCAGAGCCTGAAACCCGCCTAGCGAGCATGGAAGCGTGAGCTCCGAGGCGTGAAAATCAGACACCGAAACCCTGAACACGACCTGCAATCCGTTCATGCATCGTGCACAGCAGGCCGTAGTAATTCTGTGTGATTCGGACCGCTCCGACAGGTTCGCGGAAGAACCTGTATAATCTGACCGTTGATGTGCTCACACACCACTGTCGACTGCTGGCTTTTCGAAAGCAGAAGCCCTTCCATCCAATCTCCTGCATGTCAAGTCTGTGATCCCTTTCGTCCCGTTGTCATTCAGCCTGCCTTCGAAAAGGTTCGGGATTCTCCCAGAACTCACCTGGAGATGTTTGTGAACGCTCGCAAAACGAATGCGGCGGAGCGGACAGCATGATCAGAAGCATGCTCTGTCTTTCCAGGTCATCACTTGCTCCTTGTCGGGAACCAGGGTGTGGGCAAGAACAAGCTCACGGACCGACTGCTCGGGCTCTTGCAATGTGAACGAGTGCGGCGCTGAGGCTGTGCCCGACTGGCACATACTGTAAGGGCTGTAACGCTTTTCGCTTCCTGTTGCATCAGAAGCTTCAGGAATACATCCAACTCCATCGAGACACAACGGTGCAAAGCCTAACGCTTGCGCCAAGTCTACGCTCTGGAGTTGTGGTCTGGGAAGATTCGCCATTGCTGCGAGCGGTGAAGGCCGGACGGTGCCTAGTTGTCGATGAGGCAGACAAAGCTCCCCTGGAAGTCGTCTGCGTGCTGAAGGCTTTGTCCGAGGATGGCGAATTAAGCCTCCCCGATGGGCGCACGGTTGTACGAGAAAACGATGCGCGATTCGCGGAGGCATCTGATGAAGTCGTAAAGATGTCCAGCAGCTTCAGGCTTTTCGTGCTGGCAAATCGCCCAGGTTACCCTTTCATGGGTAACGATTTCTTTAGGGTTTGTGGTGACGTCTTCAGCTGCCATGTGGTGGATAACCCGGACATTGCTAGTGAAGTGGAGCTGCTGAAGAGTGTCGGCCCTGATGTTCCTAAAAATCGAATCATTCAGCTGTCCTTGCTTTTCGCAGAGCTGCGGGAGCTCGTGGCATCAGGCCAGCTGGCCTATCCGTACTCAACGCGGGAGCTCGTGAAACTCGTAAGCCATGCGCAACGCTTTCCTCGAGATTCCCTGGAGGAAGTCGCTGCTGGTGTGTTTGCCTTTGATATCGCCGATACCAAAAAGCGCAAGCCTTTGTTGCAAGTGCTGCAAAGGCATGGTATTGCAACCACGGAAGAGGGAGTACGTCTTCTTGAAGGACGACGGCATCAAAGCAACATGACTCTGCGACTGGATGAGGACAGGGACAAGTCGAAAGACGTTACTAACCAGGACAACCCAGATGGAGAACGGCCACCGGACATGGCAGAAGGCGGGCCAAAGCATGGCGAGTGGGACGGCCAACAACATATTGGTGGCAACCGATTTGCCGGTGGAAGCGGCGGCACAGGCACTGCAGGACAGAGACGCAGGGATTTGTTCATTTTCTGCATAGCCAATCTTTGAACATGATCGGGATCTGTACATTGCATGGAGAGTGCTCGAATCGAGGACTTGGAGGTCGCTGGGGGCCTTACCGACTGGATGTGGGTCAAAAGCTGGTCCAGGTCTCCGAGGACAAGAAGCAAGGCTTGGATGAGGCCACGAAGCGAAAAGCTCAGCAAATGGCGGACGAAGCCTACCAGAAGAGGCATGTCGGCATGACGTTGTTCGTGCTTCGTTTTAGCTCAGCAGGTTTTGCAACTCAGCATGGGTTTGACGGCGGAATCTTGGAATGCGTAGCAACAGCTCCGGCGAACGGCAACCGAATGCTGTCGTTTGTGGCAATGACTGCGGAATTGAGCCTAACGGGGCTGGTCGGCCAGACGGCTGGTCTTTGACAGCTACTTTAGCCCAACTCACATCCAGGGCCACCAGTCTTGGGCCAGCAAATCAGCAATGAGTCATGAAGATGAAGTTTAGCAAAGGACCACTCCAGCTAATTAGAAGCTGTCGTATTGCATGCGTGGGCTCCTCCCGCTGGAAGGCTTGCCGAGATGAAGATGTCCCTGAAAGAAGGAGAGGCCTATGCGGCCCTGCGGGAACAGGTTGCCACGCAAATTCAAGAAATGAAGGCACCTATATCGGTTCTCTGCTTATGTTGACACCCCTGTGATGCATGGCTCCGAGCAGGTCTGCCTAGAAAGCCAGGCAGCTCGACAGCACGAGCGACAATGGCTGAAGAATCAGACGATGGGGGAGTTGGATGAGAGCCGCTTGGTGGCTCCTCGTCCGCGTCTGCTCAAGTCTTATAAGGCGCAAGGGAATAAGAAAGCCTCAAGCGAAGAGCTGAGGATGGCATTACTGGGTGCAAGACGGTCTACATGAGACGTGGGGATCCTGAGGGGCAGATGTTTGGCAAAAGCCAGCAACATCCAAAGCGCCTCACCTTTGTCATGGATATCAGCGGCAGCATGTGCCTTGTCTGCAGAACAGGGGCAGCACGAAGTTCTTTCAGCCATTTTGAGCCTGCTTCAGTTTTCGCGAGCAGACGTCCGCTCAGCGCTGGACCAGGTATACATTCAATCGGATTGACCGACGGCTGCAGCGATTGCAAGAAGTTGCAGCCTTTATCTTCGAGAGCTTCACAGGCTTTGAGGACTGCAAGGGTGTGGAAGGACTAGCATTTACGTAAGACGAGACGGCGAGCCAGGACAAGTACGACTACCGCATGGTCGGGCACAGTGGCACAGGCCCCGAGGCCGAGCGACTCGTCGAATGGGGCAGGCCGCCCCGCTCGGAACCTCGGACTGCAGATAGGACAGCGAAGAGCGGTTGTCTGCAGCCCAGGGCAGATCTTCCGGGCATGGGTCGTTGGCTGTTCTTGGGGAGGGGTGGGGAAGGGCGGCTGGAGGGTGGGGGACGGTGACATCGGGACAAAGTGAGTTTCAACAGTCGACTGCAGGGTACTGGACTTGAAGCGGTGACTCTGACTAAGTTTTGCTTAAAGAGGTAGCACGTGGCTTTTGCCAAGCATGGCAGCTGGCAGCCTTGATGTTGTATGTGTGCCCTTTACTTCTGCAAACCTGTCGTCCCAATATCCGAAAACAAAACTTGCATGAAGCTGCCACGATTCTTCACCTCCTTCATTGCATACATGCAGAAACAGTAGACTTCGTCTCGGTGTGCGTGCCCTTCACAAGGACAGGGAACGGCTTGAGATTTGCAAGTCCATGGAGGCGTGGATTCCAACATGTGTTTTGCATTGTTTTGCTATGGTGCTCGGTTGGGAAGTTTTGGTGAGTCTTCACTGATTGGATGCATCTTAGCTCTACATCGAGATCAGCACGGTTTTGCCCTTTGTGACTGTCTTGCTCTGAGCCCGTTGCAGGCACACGCTCAATTCTGCTATCCTGGGGACCATACACTGGAGGTGTGGTTCTAGCCTGCTGCAGGAACGCAGCTTGAACATGTGAATGCCGTCTGGAGTGACAGGCTACTGCTCGCGCAATCGCAGAGCTCGGCCGGCAGACGGCAGACGAACGCTGCTCTGATCCATCACGGGAGCATTGGGAGTCCTGCTGTAGCATCTGCATGGATGGATCCTGCAGTCAGGCTTTCTGCTGGTCGTAAGCGATGCGGACCTGCAGAGGCCAAGTCCTTTTTAGATTCCACCTACACAGGTTACTAAACAGCAAGAACGGGCCGATTCTGGCTTGACATTCTTCAGGCCTGGCACAGTAGCAGCTGCAAAACCGTCAACGGCATTTAGGATAAGGCATCGCTCGAGATCTAGAGATCTCGGCTGGTTAGAGTGTCGAACTTTGTAGAAAGCTGGCTTGTGCAATCTTGTGCATCGAAGCTGCGGCGCTTGCTTTCGTGGTCGCTGTCGGGAGGGTTTCTACAGTGGCACCGGAGCCTGAGCTGGTGAAGGGACTGCTGGTGCTGCGCTGACTCCGCCTTTAGGCTGTTGCACGTTGCGCTCCTCGTGAACTCGTTGCAGGTCCTCACCTTCGGTTGCCTGATTCTTCCGGGCCTTTGTGAGCGACTTCGGGCCCGGGCTTTGAGAGATGAGTGATGCGAAGGAAAAGGGCCAGGGGGCCTGGTCCAAAAATCCAACCTGGACGGGTCGCCGTTGACTTGGCGGGCCTTCCGTCGTGAGGCGGCACCAGGGTCCGGGAAGATGCCGCCGAAAAAGGCGTCAAAGGCTCGGGTCCCGAGCAACGACGGCACGCACCACAACCTGGGGACCTTAAACAACGACTTGATGCACCACAACCTCGGGACCTTAAGCAAAGACCTGATGCGCCGCAGCCTCGGCCTCGGGACCTTAAGCAACGAGTTGATGCACCGCAACCTCGGGACCACAAAGAGCAACATGATTTACCACGACCTCCCACGATTATACCTGCTGGTCTCTCGCAGAGTTTGCTTTCAGCCTCTTTGAGACGTGGCTGGCCGACAGGCGACAAACGGCACATGATTGCTATGAGACTGTGGGCTCCAACGGTGCGGTCGACTACTGCAACGAAGTTCTTGCCGAGGATGTGGAGCGAGACGATCACCCCCGACTATTCGGAGTTCAAGCGTTGGCATGGCCAAGCCGTGTTGCTTGCTTTGGAAGGACATAGTGAAGGCGGGCCTCCTCTCAATGCCTTTCTCTCTTTCACGCAAGGGCCAGGTTACCGAGTGTTGTGTGGAGCACATCCGAGCCACAAGCTCCTTGGAGAACCTGGCCGCCGACGTGTGGGAGGATGTCATCAGTGGTGAGTCAGTGGGCTGCTGTCGCAAACCTTGGGCCACCCACCGTGACTGCATTACCCGCTGATGACCGGTTGCCGAATATTTCTGAGAAGGAACAGCTGGAGGAGGACGTGGCGCAGACACGTGTTGCGGATAGCGGTCCTCTGAGGATGCTGCGCCGGGCGACTCCATGCTGCCCTCTACGATGGCCGCTCCGGGAACTCCTGTCAAACAACTGTTTGGGCGCCCTGCGGTGCAACAAGCGCTGACACGCGCTCGGGCTTGCCCGCTGAGTCGTAAGCCCTTCGCCGAGGACAAGCTGCGGACTTTGCAGCGGAGCTGGCCGAGTGGGGAAAGTTTTCCTGGAAGGCGGCCGAGCACTACTTTATCGGAGCCGCCCCTGCCGATGAGGTGGGTGACTCTCTGTCTCTCTCTCTCTCTCTCTCTCTCTCTCTCTATATATATATATAGTTATAGTGAACCTCGCGAAATACCGACAGAAACTCCTCCTCTACCTCGACTCTACTGTGAAATTGCGGGGCCGCTCGTTGCCGATAATCTGCGTGCTGTACCGCGCGAGGTACCAACAGAAACTCAACCTCTACCTCGACTCTCTCCTGAACCTGCGGGGTCGCTGCTGCCGGGGAGTCTTAGCTGATGGTTGAGCATCCCACAGGACAACTTACACCTGTGGGTTCGAAGGCGTGACTCTGAAGCGCGAGGACGTGGTGAACATGGATGGCTTTCGCTGTGCTCCGAGTGCAAGCTCAGGTGGAGATTGACAGGATGAATCCCATGTCCTATGTCCTATGCTGAGGCTAAGCGTGATCACGGTTCGTGGGATGGTCGTTGGAGCTCGACAAGATCATGGTTCCGCAGTTTGTTCTGACAGACAAGGCCGATAGGACTCGTACGGCCGCACAACCCGAGCGACCGGTTCCCCCTCAAGGCTTATCGTGCCGGGCTTTCCGGACAAAGCCAACCTTCAGGGCGCTTCGCCGAGAATGCCCGGCGGGGTCAAGGCTTTCGCAGCACCTGTTCTTGGTGCTGACGGCGTGGCAGGGACGCACCTGGTCGCTGCTGTCGTGCGATGTGAAGAGTGCATGCTTTCCTGAAGGGCCATTTTTTTGTCGCCTGAGAGTTGCACATCACCAACGCCTAGACTTCGCCGAGCATTCCTCTACCTGAAGGTTGCCTGGCAAAAGTATTTTTCGGCCTCGCTGACGCTCCGAGAAGTGGTGGTTTCGCCTAGCCCGGCGACTTGAGGATCGTGGCTGGGAATGGAGGGGAACGCAGCGCAATGGATCAAGCTATACATGGTTCAAGTGACTCAAGTGGGACGCTAAGCCAGCACCAGAACGTCGAGGGGATGATCGTGTCCCAAGTTGGCGACCTTCTGTTTGGAGGCTGTGCTTCTGCCGAAAGATCCTTGATGGATGTGGGAGCTGAGCTGGGCTTCCGTGAGGTGCATCGGGAGGACTTCGTTTGGTGCGGCAAGCGCTTCACCCGGCGAGAGGATGGGACTATCGCCTTCTCCATGCGGGAGTACCACAGGAACTTGAAGGAGATCCACGTGCCGAAGCACAAGCAACTGCGAGCGTTACTTGGGAGCTTCCAATGGCTCGTGGCACAGCTGAGATTCGACTTGGCCTTTCAGGTCTCCTCGCTCCAGGGCGAAAAGCCGCATGTTGGGACGTTGCTTCGGGCAATTGTTTTGTGCCGGGAGTTCAAGTCAAAACCGACGTTCGAGCAGAAGTTTCACCCCGTGAACCCTTTCGGCGGCGGCCTCCTGGTGGTGACCGACTCGTTACTGGTACCAGTTCTGGAAGTGCTGAGGCTGCCCCGCTGTCAAGCCTGCTACTACATACTCTTAGCGGATGCAGATTTGATGGCCGGACGGGCTGGTTCCTGCGACGTGTTGGACATGCATGACATGCGGAGTCGCCGCATGCCGCGAGTTTGCCACTCAAGCTACACGGCCGGGACGATCCGCACCGAAGAGGCCTTCGACGTGGGGCAACTGTGCCGTGGGTTGTTGGCGACTCCCCGCGGGTACTCAATGCACGGCAAGGACGCCGACGCCAGCCTGAACAGCGTCCCCCTCACCGTCGTGATCGACCCGAAGGACGTTCACGACAAGGGGAACAACGACACCTCTTCGGCCTCTTCGTTGCATGGCGCAGAGCTGTTTTGCGTTGTCCGAATACCCGGCTGAGGTGGATGTTGACAGAGAACATGTTTGTCGACGCTGGCATGAAGTTCATGGACCTTAGCCAACCCCGGTCTATCCTGCATGCATGCAAATGGTCAATGACACACAGCCCGACCTTTGTGAAACAAGTTGTCAAGGCCAAACGACAGATCAACATGGCTCCGCGAGCCAGTCTTCCTTTGCCTGGAACAGCTGTGGATGGAAATGATCCGGTGATGGGTTACTTCTCCAAGATCGGTGAGCAAAAGGGATGGCACCATCTGGACCAGATGGGTGTGAATGGTGCCTTCGGTGCCCGCACGACCGCACTCCCGAGCCGAGGTTCAGCTGCAGTCAGTACCCGTACCGCACGACGTTTGGCCGGGTGGAACAATTGCCACCAGTGGCGACGTCTTTCAATGGATGAGGCCTAAACGGCCTCCCGAACCAGCATGTTTTATTCCCTGAGAGATTCGGTGTGCTTGTGACCTTTTCAGAAGCAATCCCGGCTAAGCTTCTTTTGCACCAAGCCTTTCGCCTAGTTCCGGGATGTAGAAAGCTGGTTTGTGCATCGAAGCTGTTTGGCTGTGCCGTTGTATGAACTCTCAAAGGCCTTCAGTCTTACATTTGTGCTATGCGCATGGAAAAGGAACTCTTGCCCCGGCGCTTTCTTTCGTGGTCGCTTCCGGAAGGGTTTCTACAAAACTTTCATGATACGCCCATTTTCTACCTCGTTTCTGGGCTCCCCAACCCCGCAAGGAGACACAAACGAGGAATGTCTCGAGTTTCTCTCGACGTGCGTGTTCGAAGAAGCTTGCCCCGAGAGAATCCCAGAAGGGCCATGCGATTTCAACGAGACTGAGAAGCAGACTGTGCCCCATGAAGCACAGCAACAGTCAAACTCGAGCACATTACACCTACACAAGGAGCAGCGATCCGGCCGGCGCTGTCGCAGTCAGTGCAAGCAGCATTGAGTTATATAATATGCGCAAGTACCTTTCTCGTAAACTCTTCAGTTCGGTGCGGCATGGAGTTGACACTATTCAAACAGTTGCCTGAAGCATGACATGGAAGGTACAACATCGACATTCGGCAGCTTGGCTTGAAAGTAGACCCGCCTCGGCTCCTCACCAAGCCCAGTTGCATCAGCCAATTGTAAGTACGTTGACCATGAGGGAGACTCGGCCAAACTTCCCTGTCCTGCCTTTCCAGTTTTTTCCATCACACATTGCGGCGCCTTTGTCCGGATCCGCTGCAGTTGTTGTCGGGGTGGACGTCAGTGCTGCTTGCTTTTGAATGCGCCTTGAAGCCTGACACCTGCAGGGTCGGATTGCAGCCACATTGTGTCCGCTGAACAGTGCCTGAAGCCGTTGTGTCGAAACAGCTCGGGTGTAGCCGGGTTTTCCCCAAGCACCCAGACGACTTAGAATGTCGATATACCAAGCATCCAGCCAGGGCTATGGCGATCCAGATGCTACAAAAACTGGCCTGCCTGCCCTAGTAGCCAGGATCATGCACAGGACAGCTGCAGTCATTAGCACTGCCAGTGTCCGGCACGGGTTCGTTCGTTGCGGGCCAGTGACTGTGTCGTCGTTCATGTGGTCCAGGTGCGTGCTAATTAGTCTAACGACTACAAGTACAGCATGGTGGAGACTAATTCGAAACCTTTTTCGAGAGGTCTCGCATTGCCACTGACACCACCTGACCAACGCCAACAGCTGAGGCGGTGGAATCAAATTCTGCACCAGGATCCAACTATCAAGGCCTATGTCATCTTAATCTCCAACAATGTTGATGAGGCCATGGGTGATCTGGGTAGCAGAAGTACTTTTTGTCATAGATGACATGCGTGGTGTAGCACGGACTAGAAGATCTGAGAAGGCTTCGAGGGCTACTGCGCTCGGAGCAGGGTACTTAGAAGACTAGGGATGACTAAGGCCTAATTATGGTGTATCAAAACGAAAATCGGAAGTGCAGCAGCCGAAGACGTGGCAGGCTGAGCGCATCAAATCAACCTTGGCACCGGGCCGAGCACATATTTGTGCAGAAACAGCAAGCTTGGCTGTCACTTTCAAGCAGATCTTCAAAGACAGCATGCCCCATGTCCACATTTGACAGCTGGGGCTGGGCTAGGGCGGCTATCGGGCGGGGTTGTACGCAGCAGTTGCTTTTGGCATGCAAGGCTGCGTGACGCCTGAAACCTTCGCGGTCCACGTCCTGACGACCAGCACCGAAGAGCGGCGTACTGCAAGGGGCTTGCAGACTCTGGACATCAATGACATCATGGGCAGGAGTGACATGGGACCAGCGATCAGCAGGAAGCGATCGCACAGCGACATCTCTTGCATCACATCGGCTTCTCATCGGCACCGGCGCCTCCAGCATATCTGCAGGAGATCTGGACGCCCAGAGAATTGTCCGAAGTTTCTTCCGTGTCTCAGCGTGAACCAAAACGAATGCCTCCACAACGCTCGCAGACAGGCCGAAAACCTGCATCTGCCCAGGCCTTTGCGTGTTGGGCATTGTTGGGCTTGATGTCGTGCGGACGGCAGTGTCGCAGCAGGTAGTGCCAGTGCAAAGCTGATGCTGCGAGAGTACAGCCTTGGCAGAGTGCAGAACCGTCACGCTTTGCCCCCAGCTGACGAAGTCGCATCAGCACTTTGGGCCATGAGTTGTGAGCGGCAGAACAGAACAGTTCGGAGTGGGAGATTCGCTTGCAAAGCGATCCCCGAATCCATGTTGTCGTGGAAGATTAGTCCCACAGGAAATACACCAGACCTGCATAGCTGCATGGCTCTGACTGCTCGAGCTCGTGCGTTCCAAACCTTCACTTCGCCGGCACATCCCTGCAGTCAACGAACAAAGCAATGGCACTGGCATGTTGCGCGAAATCCGACAGCATCTGATGCAGCATAGGGGCTACTGGACGTTTTGAGGCGGCGAAGCCCGTGCGAAGCCATGGGCAGTGCTTGCTCAGGCGAGCTGAACGACAGCAATCAGGCCGGCATGTGTAGTTGAACCGGGTGCAATCCTAAAGCCAGCACAGAACGCAGCGAAGCGGCATGTTTCTTACACTGTAGGACCGGCTACGACGATAGGCATGTAACGCATGTAGCTCGTGCTTGCAGCAAGATTCTCCCTCATGTGCTGCGGAAGTGCTGAGTTCGGGTCCAGCTGCTGGCATGAATTAGTAAACGCGTGTGCATGCGTGTGTCGTGTGTTTTTCTTGGATGGTCGCGACCGCGTCTGGCCACCATGGCCGACTTGACTGCGGACGAACACAGTTCATATTAACTCATCAGGATCTCCAGATTCAGGTTACGATATCATGTCGGGCTCTAGGAGCACACAAGCAACAAGGTACTCAGGCTGTCGCATGCAAGCCAGAAGGCTGCCGAGCTTCAACATGTGACGGTCGGTTTGTGCGCCCTGTAGGAGCTTCTGGCCGTGGACAAAGCAGAGGCTGTGCAGCCTCATTTGAAAGGCACGGCCGTCTCCACGAACACCCTGTGCGAAGTGTTCAGGCAGTGCCGGCTGGCTGATTTGAGAGAAGAGTGAGTTTGCATCATTTCGTCACTTGCCTGGCCATCGCAGCTTCATCTGAGGCGATGCGAACAACGATAACTTTGCGGCATCCTGAAATAGTGCATGACATTGCTCGTGAATTGTGATGCGAAAGTGGATGCGCGCCAGCGCCCGTGCTAGCCGCTAGCCAGACAGTCGAGGTCACCAGGATAGAGCTGATCAAGGCCTGCAAGAGCCACCCAGAGATCGCGCAAATGCTCGGGATACCCGAGAATCTGCGGGACAGCGCACGTGCTCAGTTCGAGCAAGTGTACCCTGGCTTCGCACACTGGTAGACATTGCGTTGCAGCAAGAGGGCTTTGTGAGCAAAGGTATCAGGCCTTGGATGCTGACAGAGTCTCAGCAGAAAAGAAAGTCAGAATCGCTTGCTTCGGACAGGCGTAAGGCCACGCATGCATCCAAGGTGATCGGAAGGTGTCGCTGGATGAACTGAGAGCTTATTTTGTCCGAGCTGGGTTTCAGGTCACCGATGACTAACTGGGCTCGCTCCTTCCGAAGTGTGTAAAGTTTCTGACGAAGCGCGCCACACGCGCCAGTGCGGAGGCACTGCGGAAGCCAAGATGGCATGTCATGTGCAATTTCTGTGAAGTTTCTTCACCCGTGTCAGCTCTTTGACTCCATCAGCTCATCGAACTTGACCACTTTAGCTCGCATGCTTACATCTCACCTCAGCGAGCTGTACTCCATAAAACAACCTGCAGCAAACAATCCCCGATGTTCGAGCAGAACTAACAAGCTCACTGTCACAAGCTTCTGTCCACCGCCAGTCGTAAACCATGTCATTGGCGGGAGAAGTACCGCACTAGCAGTAGCCGAGCGCACATGGGATGGCGCAGTCGGGCTCACTATTGGATGCATTGGGCCGGAGCCCTAGTGGATTAGCGTGGGGATGCTGTGAACCTGAGCAAATCGCTGCTCGCGATTCAACGCGACTCGCGACCTGCAAGGACAAAGCATTCTGGACTCGGCAAGCTCCATAGATGCCCACATAGATGCCGGTGCTCTGGTCGACCGAATCTCAGGACGTGACGTGACGCTTTTGGTTGTTTCTGCACGGGAGTGGCTAAAGGATGATTGCAAACTCCCAAAACGCCAGGTATACTCTAGTCTAACTCTAGCGCTAGAGTACATCCGACCGTGTCAGGAGACTGCAGCACTGCAAGCGGCCATCGAGCGCGGCAATTTGCTCTGGCCGAGTTCAAGGCTCTGGCGAAGCGCGCCCCTGGAGCCGTCGTCGCCACTGAAGGTCCAAAGCCTGGCAGCATTGGCTCACGTTCCAGCGTCTTGCAGCCAGTCCGCGTTCTGAGCCCGTGCTTCTTTGCAGGCGCCGTGGTTGCCATCCTGCGCGTGGTTGAGAAGATCTCCCCGCCTCAGGATGAAGAACTTGCCGACGAGAATGTGGAATCAATGCAGGCAGACACGCTGAAATTCGTGACATGTGCCTTGATTTCTTTGACTGCTCCTGAAGGATGCCTTAGAGTGCTTGAGTTCGTTGATGAGCACCGGCTCGTCAAAGAGCTCCGCCTCCAAAGATTCGAAGATCGAAGAGAAGGCACAGCGAATGAAAGCAGCGACTGCACCCCGCATACCGAGCACAGCGGATGCTTCCTGCAGGAGCGAGCAGACGAGCAGCAAGGACAACTTGTAGCGGAGCTTATCGTGCTTCTTGTCTTGCTTTTTGCACCGTTTATGCTGGATGTTTGGGGGGGCCCTCGCAACACCCGCATCGGCACATCGGCACCGAGCTGCAAAAGACCCGAGACCCGAGACGCTCGAGCAGCATGGACATAGACATCGACACCCCGTATTTTGCTTGTTGGGTATGCAGAACGAAGGGTACAAGAGGAAACTTTGAACCCTGTGTTGCTTGCCGCGCCGTTCCACCCTTGATTGGGCTATGGGTAGTTGGGTTCTTTGGGGACTCGTGCAGCTCGGACTGGAGAGTTACTGGCGTGGTTCGGTTAAGCTTCCTTAAGCTGGTATCTTTGGTGTGTGCTGTGTCAAAACAGTCTCTGGACCTGCTAGAATTCGGTCGAACGATGTGAAGCTTGAGGCGAGTGTCCTGGTTACTTCTCGGTCATTCACCTCTTTCAATTGCGTAACGGCTCTACCGAAGTCACACCGCATCTGATCAAATTAGCAGACACAGAGTGAGGAAGGTAAACAACGTGTCGCATCTTTCCGCGGCACTGGTTCAGCAGTCACGGTTACTGTAGGCTTGGAAAGCTGACGGTGGCCTGTTGGAGTATGAAGCTTTGCAGCTTATGGTTTAAGCAAGCGTGTCAGGGATAGGGTTCAGTTTCGCCCGGAGGCACAAAGTGTATTGGCGACATCAGTTCTGATGGCAGGTACTAAGAAATCAAAAAGGGATGACACACTCCTTCCTCCCCACCGTAAGTGGACCACGGACGAGGGGGGAAGAGTTGATGTTATGACTTCCTGCTGGGCATGGTGAGCCGACTTGGCAGACTGCTCAACTTTACCCGCGATCACATGCTGGGAAACGGTGCTCTTGTGACTTCCGTTTTTGAGTCGTAACGCGCGGTTACAAAGATGAGGATGGCTCGCCCACTTGATGTGCCTTCGGTGTTTACCTGTCGGAGAGTAACTCACATGTAAAACTGCCGGCGATCCCAGGCACAAGGCACCGCGAACACAGAAGTTGATTCACTGCTTCTCCAGCATGCATGCATGGTTTCGATGCCCGTGCCGTTTGGCACAGTCGAAAGAGCAACAAGAAGAGCCTCTCGCATCGATGTACTTCCATCTGTGGGGAATCTTTTATTGGAGGTCACGGCATCCAAAAGAGTGTTTGCAGCAGAAACTCCTGAGTCCATGGCACTTCCCACTTGTCAATGTAGCCCTAACTGTGTGCAGCATGACCATCTCAGGAAGCACACGGAGAACGTCAAACAACTCCTGCGATTGCTTTGTCTCAGTCCCATGACACCAAAGTAGGCCAAGGTGCATCGCGTCTCAGCGTGCTCAGAGACGTCGCTGAGCTCCCGAGGCGAGACTTCTACTCAGTACGATGCGATGATCCTGCTTCAGAAAATCTACGTCCGCTTACCTGAGCCCGTGAATGCTGCCATCTTGGCGGACCCGAGGCATCTAGTCGTCTAATGCATGCTGAAGCCGGATAAACTCGGCTTGAGTGGCACGGAGATGGCTACACAATACACATGCACTGAAGCTTACCAGGTCTCTCGGCCACCTGATGCACGTGCTGCAGACGTCACCCATTGACTATGTGCGCAATGAATGTCTTAGTTTGCTACTTCTGCTGACGGCAGCCAATGCTGACATTCAGAGACCTGACCGGCAGTTAGTCAACCGACAGTTGCTGACCCGGATGTTTTTGTATGCAAGCATGGCGACAGGGCATGATCCCTCCGAAGCAATGTGGCCTGCTTGCTCAGGACTATTGTTACTGTGCAGGGTTTCATCGAGACTGTTTTTTCCATCCTGGAAGATGAAGATCTCGCTTTGGGTGGCAAAGTTGCGCGAGATCTGCTGCAATGCCTGATGAACATCGTCGGGAATTCAACCTGTCAGAAGTATTTGCGCGAAACGGCGGCTGGGATGCTTTTGATCAAAGCTTTAATTGTGGATTGTTCTGAACTGTTTTGCAATGCAGTCACAGCTTGCAAGGATGGGGCGGCGTCACTCGTGTCCGCAATTTCCGTGGCAGTTGCCGGAAGACCAAGTGAGGAGGACGACGAAGAAGACGAAAGGTAGGGTCCTCGTCTCTGCCATGGATTATGGTTTCACCTCCATCGATAAACGATTCGAGGCCAGAAATCCCTGGGGAGTCTCGCTGGGCATGCCTTTCTCTTCTGGTGGATGCGGCGTTGTCGCTAGCCAGTCCTCCCGATGCTGCGGAGGCCGAGGCTGAGGCCAACCGCCCTCCAACGGCATTTTAGAACGTGTTTCCAGGTGTTGCCGTCTGTGCTCTTGTCACGACAGATAGAGGAGAGAAGTTGCAGTGCCCTTGTTGAGGTCTCGCCTTGGTTAAGGCGGGTGCTCTGGACCTGTGTCGCCACCTCTCGGACCCGCAGCTGGCAGAGGTCCACGAACGTATGCACACATGTCAACGTACGTACTGTACTCAATTCAGTGTAGCAAGACTACAGATTCCGGATGTCCCGAAAGCGCACTACAAGCAAACGAAAGTATGGACAAGAATGATGTATCATGAATGCATGCATGTTTGCATGCACGCAGACATTCATGCATATAGGAACCGGTATCAACGTGAAGATTAATCAGTTGTCCGTTCATACATACAGCCAATCGCGGATCGGAAGCGCCGCATCCCTCGAGAGGCTTGTGGTTTCCGGAGCAAGGGATCGCGCTTGCAGCAACGCGAAAACATGGCATCCGCCCTATGTCCGGTGTAGCGCGAAGCCCCATTTCCCACGCCGATGCCATCCGGACCCGGCGGTCCCAAATAGAGGGAAGCAGAATTCAAGAAGCCTCGTGCGATAGAATTCGAGAAGGGACATCAAGGGATCGCGCCGACGCCAAGAAGCAGACACGCTGGGTCCACATTGAGCGTTGTCAATTCGGTACATTCCAGAAATGCGCGAAGCGCGTTTCCTGTTGTTTGCATTACTTATTTTGGATTGCGCAACATTAACACGAAGCGCCCCGTGTGTCGGAATTTACAAAGGATCGTGCCGTTCGGAAGAAGGCGACATGCTGACGCAGCGCAAGGGTTCCTCGAGCGGGGGGCAGAGGAGGAGTTTGTCTTGGAGTTTACAACGGATCCTGGCGATCGCAAGATCCCTGGAGAGGGTTGCAATCTTCGGCACCGAGACGCCGCACCTGCTGTAATTTACAATCAGCACGGGGCGGCTCCCGCCAGTTCTGGCCCGGCTCCTTTCGCCAACGCTTTCGGAAGAAAGCATCCAACGTAAGAAGACTCTCTCGCGACTCTGTCACTCTGTCGACCTTCGTCGTGTCCTTGAGGCTGCGCAGCTCATGCTCGTGCGGCTTTTTCAGTCGCTTGAGAAGTGCCCACAGGCTCTGGCCGCTAGCCGTAAGATGCCGTACCTTTCACCATGCCTTCACCATGCTTGACCTCTCTGCAGGCTGCCGATCGCCTGCAAAGCTTCGGGCGAGGCAAGCAAGACTCCGGCAGACCGCTGCTCTTTGTCAGCCGACCTGTTTGAACGCAACAGCTTCTTATCTAGGGCCTAGGCAGAGCCGTCCATGTTGCAAAGTGCCAGAGTAGTGGCAACAAAGTGAACCTCACTGACACGATGCATGCAAGGAACTAATAACCGAAAGTTGATGCTTCTGCCGCCTTTAGCCTGCATAGCAACAACAAGTGCTACCAGTGGTGATCGGAGCCTGGCCGAGTTAAACGGGTCAGAACCAGGCAGGGCAGGTTCGCCCGTGTTGAAAATGGTAGAGACCTAGCAGCACACTGGCAGCTTTGCAGCGTAGGAGCTAGGTGCAGAATGTCTCAGTCTCAGACATATTACGTCGTGCTGAAGCCTGGCTGGAAGAAGTTGCTCGAAGTGGTTCCACCCTTGAAATCACGCGACCAACTTTTGTTCAATCTCCCCAACTCCCCAAACCCTTCCTGTATTTGACCCTCCCGCCCCACCTGTTGTTCTCACCCCGCCAATCTGCATTGGGTCCCACATTTTGTCCTTTTCACCCCCTCCCTCCACAAACGATTGTTTTTAGCCCGCTTCATCTTCCAACCTCAGACGTGTCTTGGCAACCCCTGATCTGTTTTCGACCTGTCTCGGGCACCTCCTAACTGCCAAGTTCGCGCCCCCAGCTAGAGACTCCCTGCTCGAAGCCTCCCACCACTTCCGCTGAAGCGCGGCAAGCCAAGCTAAGCCAAGCCAGGACAACAGGAACCCGAGGTAGGTACATCAGTACATCCTGTCCCAGTATAACCTCCTGCCGGCTGGGGGCGGCCACCATCCTTACTCACATTCGACTACTCTTGCTACAGTGAGGACTTCTGCTACTCGCACTTTCGTAGGACTCCTTGTGTTGCTCTGCCTACTGTAACTGAATGCTTTGGCTTCTCCGACTATTCATATTGCGAATCTGTTGCTACTGCTTCCAGCAGTCCAGCATCTTGCGAATTGGCTGTGTCCAGGAGAACGCATGCCGTGCTGGAACTTTTCGAACGCGGGTTTCACCAAATCCAATGCACAATGGTCGAACTCCGCAATGGTTTGCCGCGAAACGGGCCGTGAGAATCGCAGTCAGGTCAGGTGTCGCAGGTTGTCACGGGGTGCTCGGCACAAACATACGCGGTTGGGAGTTGCCTTTTCACGGATCTAGCGGATTCGGATTCATAGGTTTCGTGGAGTCGTGGCTAGCTTAGCCTAATCCGTGAAAGTAGTAAGTCAAGGGCATTCTGTTGGCTTCGCATTTTGACTTTCCAGATACGGACGGTGGCAGCATCATTGCTATATCGGAACGTTGATGTGCTTCTCATGGCAGGATCTGGCGGCAGTGCTGCTGGGTGGGAGCCAGAGTTGAAAAAGACTGGAGGAGTCTCGAAGTTTCATTTCAGTGCCGCACGACTCGGCAATCTGCAGCTGATGAATGAGGTCCTGTCACGCGGCTAAGCCTTCGAAACGCGCTTGGCACTATTCTCAGATGAAACTGCTTACCTGCAGCTGCTTCACGCTGTGTGGTTTGTCGGTCGTCCCTACGCCAAGCAGACAGTTTGGATCATTGAAGTTGTGCACCCTACGATGTAGCACCCTCCCCTAACATACGTGGCTTCTGTTTTCGCGGCTGCAGAGCCGAGCTTTTTGTTAGTAATCGTGGCTTCGATCGTGCTCGGTCTGGTTTCTTCACAGTATATGTGGCATCCTTGACATGGTGCAGTCGACTCTGTGGAGTCACTGCGATGATGCAGCACACACACAATTGATTCCGAGTGGTTCCTCTCTTAGGACGTGTACTTTGCCGCTGTGTCGCCAGACATGCCTCACTGCAGCCAGGCACTCAGAGGCTGCGCAAAGGGCCCATCTGAGCCTGAGCCGAAGGCAGCTCACATGAAGCTAGCGCAGCTAGGACGTCTAAGTGGTCCAAGCGGCCATGCCCATGTCCGCCAGTGGTAGGCGACAGTATGTGGCAGTGGGTGGAGGGCATCACCCTTGCTCCCGACAGCTCTCCTTCAAAAGATCAATTTCTCTTTGTGGCTGGTGTTGCTTTTCGGTGCAGGATTAGGGATAGGGTGTGAGGGTGAAGCCAGCATGAAGAATCAACACGGGCAAGTGGTGCAGACACTAGGCAGGAAAGAGAGTTTAACAAGAAGCGGGGCACAAGATGGCAAGACGCAGAACAGACTTCAAGTCGCAATGCGGCCACTTCCACGTGCGCGGGCCGACAGAGGCTAAGAACAGGAAGGACAACCAGTAGATGTCATCAGCAGTCTCCCTCTGCTCGCTTACACTTACCTGGCAGAAATGGCAGAACCCTGAGAGTTGCTGAATGCAGAGGTCCTTCCTGTGCTCTTCACTCAGTCCAGAGCTCCAAGCAGATTCTCCGGAGGACCCCGCCTTGCTACAGAGATTGTGCAGAGATGTTACGAGATCTTCCTCCCTCCGACCGCTGACCGCTGTGGACAGGTGAGGCCGGCGGGACGTCTCCTCGTGGACGTGCTGGAGGCGTTCGTCATGGTTTCATTTTTTTTACTTTTCTACCCTTTGGCATCTGCAGGCTGCCTGCCTTTCTGGAGGAGGCGAGCTGGAATCTGCCGTCAATGCAAGTGTCAGGTGACTAGACATGGCTAGACGTGCTTCTCGATACAGAGTTTAGGGCCTGGGATTTACAGTATTTATTCCTTCTGTGTCGAGTGCAGCGGGAGCGCTGTAAAAGAAAATACTTTCTGGGACTAGGGTGGTCTGGTTTTCTTATTTTGATAGCGGCTGGTTTTGTGGGAAATTTGAATCTAGGATGGGTCAGGGTAGTCTGGTTTTCTTAAGGCCGTTTTCGTATATAGCTATGTCCAGGGCCCATGAGACAAACGACGACTTTCCCCAACCTAGATTAAATTTGGAGGTGTAGGACGGGTCTCTGAGCTGTCGGATCTTATGTTGCTTCGTTCCACAGCACAATTAAATAAGAAAAAGAGACTCTGGCATTTTCTTATTTCCTTTCGTTCCAGAACACACCTAAATAAGAAAATGAGACTCTGGCATTTTCTTATTTTCCTGTGTTCCAGAACGCACCTAAATAAGAAAACGAGACTCTGGCATTTTCTTATTTTCCTGTGTTCCAGAACGCACCTAAATAAGAAAACGAGACTCTGGCATTTTCTTATTTTGTGTTGTTTTGGAACCCAACTAAAGAATACAAGGAGCCGGGCGATCCCTGAAAGCCCTTGCACAGCACAGGCCATGCTTACGCACACTTGTACCATACAGAGCGAAATAAGAAAATGAGACTCTTGGACGAGGGTACCCTGGTTTTCTGATTGTAAGAGGTATTTGAAGGAGAACCCCCTCAATCCCGAAATCCAGAGTCTCATTTTCTTAATCCAATGTTTTCTTACGTAGTGTTGTCGCTGTAGCTTAGGTTTCTGTTCTTCGCACTAGGAGCAGCTTTCGAGTTTCGCCTGGCTACCGCAAGTTCCCGAAATGAAGAGAGGGTTCTGTTGCCTGGCCTCAAAGCACAGGTGGTTCTGCTTCAGTGGAGGTGAGCTGGTTTGCGCAGTGTACTAAGTTTGAATACACCGCGGTACCTGTGGCACCCAAACTGATGTGGCGACAAAGGCTGAGCTTGCTGCTCGCCATGATGCGTGGGAACACAAGTGCAGGGGACTTGGAGTGATGCACTTGTTGATGATGCCTGCCGTCGTTAATGGCAGTCTACGATGCCGAAGCGGCGTTGGCCAAGCTGAGCGGCGACAGTCTCAAACATGCGTCATGCGGCCGTTGGGGACCTGTTTAGCCTGCGCGACTTGTTTCACCCTCAAGAGGAAATCAACGTTTACTGCGCTGCTGGGGTTGAAAGTTGGTGTGCTGTAGACGATTTCACCATGCCCGTCGCTTTGTTCTGGCTTTTTGGGGTTACCCACCCCCAGGAAACTTCAGCCACGACTGAAAAGCATTGGCATAGGTATTGAATAAACACATAATAAGCACAGAGCATTTCAGACTACAATGGAGCGGTCACGTCTGCCCACTGGCACATGCAGCTGCCCCTGGATCCCGGCATTTCAGCCCACATCGCAAGCTAATGAATTTCATTTCGGAAAATGGGCTGCATTGGCCCACATTGGCCCAAATCAACCACACATCTACCAATTTAGCTGGCTGAGAATCACCCCGTGTAGCCCCCATCTTCCGTAGCATGGGGGATACGTCACCCGTACAAAACGTTTTCGTGCCGTAGCATGGTCGTCAGATGTCAGATCGAGCACATAGTGCACATGTCAGCAGTGTTGCTGCGGGTTACCGGCATCACACGCCAGACTTGATTTCGCTGACACGTACATCTGCTGGCAGTTGTAACCCGACGGTGGCGGTATTTTGTCTGTATTTTGTCAGTTGTTTGTATCTTTTCCGGCGGGCTCGCTAGCAAGCAAGCAAGCACGCAAGTCTAAGCCTGGCAAGCTCGCTTCAAAATATCATCCTACAAGTACCAGCAAAAACAGAACGCGCATGGATCGTTGCAGAACTCCTGATACAGACATTGTGGCTGCAAACGGCAGGTGGCGTTTTTAGTTCATGTGATGATTCGGATTCGACAGGTGAAGGGCGTCTGCAAGATATATGATCAGGGATGTGCGTAAGATATAAGATGAATCGAAATCGCCAAATGCGGGGGTGTATGATGAGCTGAAATCGATAGATGAGAAGCATTGTTTTAAAGATGATATGATATGTGATTAACCGGAATCGTCCAATGAGGGGGGGGGCTCAAGATAACTGATGACCCAGCATCGCCACATGGGGACGTGCTTAAGGTTTAAGATATATGTTGAACCGCAATCGCTCAATGGCGGGGGGGGGCGGCATGTTTAAGATATTGATGAATCGGAATCGCCCAATGAGGGGGAGTGTTTAAGATATATGATGAATATGATGAACCGGAATGACGCTTGACAGGCGAGCGTGCTCCACTCCTGATCATAGATGCAGCAACTAGAATGTTGCGAAGGCGGTGCCAGTCCGTGCATCTTGAACTTTTGTTATTCTATGTTACTCTTCTCGAGTCCACCGGTGTGGGACTGTTGCCCAAAAGCTAGAAGAGGAGACTGACATGCGGCAAGCTGACGACATAATGAAAAAAGGAGCAAAGAGGCCGGGCTAGTCACCAGATTAGTTCTGCATTGTTCGTTTGTTTTCGTAGTGTGTTGTTCCGCTGCCCTCGTGTATGCTGCCTTCCCTACTAAAAGTATGGTATTTTGACAGAGTGGCCCCAGTGTAGTGCGACAGCACTGTGTAGGGGTCTAAGCTCGGGCCATGGTTTAACCCGCAAGAATTTCGTTTGGGTTGGGGCAGCTGCAGGCTTTGATGACGATCCGGCAACTCAGAGATCCCACAAGATTTCGGTCATCATATATCTCAAACCGGCCGAGTTCCTTTGACGTTTCCAGCTCATCATATATCCCGAACACGCCCCTGCATTGGGCGACTCCGGTTCATCATATGTCTTAAACACACCCCTGCTCAATGAGGCGATTCCGATTCATCATAAATCTTACGCATGAGGTCACCATATATCTTAAACACGCGCCCTCATTTGG